CATTTTTATTTTTATAATTGTAATGCACAGAGGGATCTTTATGGCAATCGCTTCTCCTTAAATAAAATGCCATTTTTTCAGCTGAGAACCAAAAAATACAGACGCAATGATGCATTTATTTTCCGCTTTCCCACCATTTTACTTGGTTTTCTTTTGCCATTGTCTTCTTGTGCATCCACTGTGCTGGGGCGTTTAATTAATTACCAGTCCACAAATGGGAGCTCGGCAGGTAAGCTGGAAACGACGCAAGGAGGCAGCGCCTTTTAATGTTTAATCCCACGGATTTACTTTAAAATGTAATTAGCTGGGAAAGATTCATGTTCTCTTTCGTATTTTTACATTTTACATTCAATTTGCAATTCTGAATATCGACAAAAATATCTGCGCTTAAGGCCAAATGACTGGCTAGAAACTTTGTACGGGATTAAAGACATTAGAATAATCCTTGAAATGAACGAGCTGTTATAACAAAAATAGCTTATATATAGCTCTTCTACGCGATTCTCATGAATTCAAGTAAGCAAAAGTTTTGTCATGCTTTCATTATGATTTTCTTTTTCCTAACAATTAATAAAATTTATTTATGATTAAAATTTATTAGCATTAGTTTGTGTATATATAAAAGTCTGTCTCTCTCGTACTAAAAGAAGCCAATAAACAAATCGTGCGCGTGTAATATATATATTTATGGGTAAAATTTATATATAAATAGATATATATGTAAGGGCAATCCAGACCACGTTATCCACAATTAAACAATAAATTTATATATACATAAATTACGCACAAGAATATTGCATAGCAGGACATCGAACCGCAGAGTCCGAGCCATCGCATTGCCTGCGGCAGCTCAGCAGGCAACACAACCACAAAGACAGAAGGGCAGGACATGGGGTAAGGGGCAAAGGATTCTGCTGCCAGACCATTGCACTTCTGACTGCTGGCGGCAAGAGCCAAGAGAGGGCAATGACTTGAACAATTTCGGGTTGGCAATGCAAACGCATCAGCTGGCCCGCAAGTATGAGGGAAATACTATTCTTTGCCAAGTCGTGAACCTTGCTCTTGCAGCAAATTCATTTCATTAAGCGTGCTCTCAAGGGAGCCCATTTCAAAGTGTCTGGATCTGCGGACTCAAGTTATTCTTGGGAAAGCTGCATTTCGGCTTATGGTAATGGCCCCCGGTTTGCTCAACTGCAGCTATAACATTGCACCATGTGCATCGCCGAAGTGTCCTAGCTTACGTTTGCTGCAAATCAAGCGGGTCGTATGGCTGCCATAAACTGCGCAACAATGTTGCTAAATGGCGCAGCTTAACCGACAAACTGACCTCCAATGGAGCCGATGGTTGGGATCGTGAGTCGTTAAGAATTGAGTCGTCAGGGGCGTGCCTTTACACGGGCATAGCATTGAGTCCTAGCATAAAAACTCAGCCTAAGCCGCAAGGTAAAAACGTTTTTATCTAAGCCATGAAAGGCCAACAACCACTTTTGATTGACAGGCACAATCAATTTGTGCGTCGTCGGTATTTGCCCCTCAAGCCCCAGACCCAGACCCAGGCCCAGCCCCAGCCCCACTTGGTATAGTAGCTTATTGGAATTGTTTGGCTACTGTTTTTGCGTCTATGTAGAAAACTAAGAAGCTAGGCCAAGTCATGCACAATAGAAAAAGCCCACAAGTATTTATGCAACGTGTCGGAATGGGATTGTGTGTGTGGGCGTTAGTGGCCCGCCCCTTCCTTAGATAGCAGAGAAAAACTTCTTTTGTATCGCATTTCAGTTGTCATTTGCAGTCTGAATGACTTTGCGAATTCAGATATTGATATGTCCTATTCATTGAACCGAAAGAGACCAACAACAAAACCATGAATTACAAGTGCTGACTAGGACCAGTTGTCATTGTGGACTAGCTCGACAGAAGCCTTGAAACTCGCAAAGTGTAGGACTTTCCAACTGCAGACCATTCGTGTGCGTCAATTTACAAGTGCAGTCATATCCAAAAAGCACACGTAAAATTATAGTTAAAGTTTAGCCACAGAGTTTTGCTTAAAGCCTTGGGATCTATTCATAGAGCCAGCTGTGTGGTATTCACCTAATTAAGTGTCTATTAGAGGCCAGTCTGAAATCCCATCAGGGAAACAGGCTTTTAGGCTTTTGTTTGTGCGTATGTGTGTATGTGTGTGTGTGTGGCTTTTGTCATAAAGTTCATATTTGGGCCACCGATTCGAAGGACCGCTTGGAAATTCGTAGGCTGACACCAATTGAACTTTACGCCTGCCAAAATCTGTGCTCCAACTCGCAGCCCATTTCCCATGGAGCTCAAACTACGTACGAGCTTCTAGCAATAATGTGTGTGTGTGTGCGTGTGGGGTGCGATGGGTCGTCGTCTATCTGAAATTGTATTGAAATCCTTTTAACGCCATATCTAAAATTTATGTGCTTGCCAAATTGAATTATTGTGCAAACTCAATTTTGCACGAAATGCGCCCGGTTGGTTGGCTTAGAATACACGCACTGTGTGTTGCCACGCCCATTCATTTGATGGGCTTGCGAGTCGTAGTTAGCATATGCAGCTCGGGAAGTGCCCGACCCACTAAATTTGATTTGATTACATTAAAAGTGTGTCACAGCATTCAATAATTTAGATGCCGCAACTACTCGCCAGAAGTATACCCTGTACAAGGATTTGGCTATGGGCAATAATATAGGGATGCTGGTTTATTTAACTAATACACCCGCTGCAGCTACCAGTTATCAGGTATAACAGCATAATGCATTTCCAATTTAGCTTTAATTGAAAGCCTAAAACTGTAAATTTATATTGGCGCTTTTGCGATTCACACGAATGACTAATTAGTGATTGGCTTTTGGAAATGCTTTCTAATTCTAGTTTAGTTAATCCAATCGAATTCAATGAAATGGCTTTTATAACTGTAATTGAATTCACTTGAATTTAGACGAGTTTGCTTTTTAATCCAACCGACTTTCATAACAGCCTACGCTTACGAACTTTTCCGCATAGTCGCACGTGTAAAGAGGAAAAGAAAAGTAAATTTTCTTTACTTTTTATGCTGTCACAACTGTATTTTTGATTTATGAGCTTTGCTGCTACTTACATAGTATAAAGGTAAAAGCAAAAGAATTTGCAATCAGGATTTAAAATTCCTGCCGGGCGAACACATTTGTTTCTTAACAAATGGGAACCCTAATGAGGCAAACATCAATCACCTTCATTGTGCCAAGCTCTAAATAAAAATAATCCGAATCATAATAATAATCGATGTCCCAAACAATCTGTGAAATGAATACGAAATTATCGAAGGATGGCTGCTGCTAATACGTTCTCCTGATGATGACAAACCGATGATTATTATTATTATTGTTGTTATATTTCATATCAGGAATTTGCCTGTCTACGGCCGTGTGTATGTGTGTGTGTGTGTGTTCACGTGTGTGCCGAAGCCTACGCTGCGTATGAGTGATTATGATTATTGTTAAATACGAGCAATTGTGCAAAATCAATTTAACCCTTATTCTGCAGTTCGGCAAAAAAAATCACATCATTTCAATGAAAAATAAAAGTCAGTTAAATGTTAAAGTAAATAATAATATAATTTCTCTCTTTAATTCGCATTTTCCAGAAAAATAATATTGTAAGTTATTTGTTGGTTTCTTTGCAAAGTTGCGTAGACATTTATTTCTAAGAAACTTAATTGAAGTTGCGCGCTTTACTAACTTTGTCAAAACGTTACCGATTTATGGTCATATTTTGTCCGTTAGATTGATTTGACACGTGAACTTAATTCAATTGGAATAAGAAACTTTTTTTAAACAAAACTTGTGAAAAGTTACGAATCTTAAATAATTGTAATACCATAAATTGCTTGCAAATTTTCACGGCTGGCCGCGGCTGTGCGTCCTAATAGAAACACAAAATTATGCATAATCATGAGAAAAGGAAGCAGGAGCCGGCTGCCTGTGGGCGGCCTTGGAGGCTGGCCATTGGGGCGTTACAATTATGGCATCACATCCATTGGGAGTCTGGCTTCAGTCTTTGGCCCAAGTTAATTTGACACGCAGTTTGTTGCAGCAACAACCCAACAGAGTGCGTGAGTGAATACGTAGGTATTTTTTTCTTAGAATAATGTTAATATAGCTGGGCAAGCACTTGATTTTGACGGAACTTGTGGGCCACAATTTGGCTTCTGGGGCTTAAAAACAAAAAGTCACTCTGAAGATGGCACAACAATGGAGAATAAAAAAAAATGTAATAGAAAATTGTCGTATAATGGGGCAGGGATACTCGTAAATCTGTAAACAGCGAATAGGGCACGCACTGCGTATACGTAATATGAGAAAATAATTGCTGCGTAGCAAGCGGCGACAACAATGCGAGTAAATTGCTTTTGAAACGTGCAGACACACCCCCAACACCCGCGAGCAGACACACACACACAACACACAAAAGCCATGATGAATTTGCAAAAATAAAAAAAGAAAAATCGAAGACTTCAGAAAATAGCCACAAAATGATTTCATTTAACTTTGCTTTTACTTTCGCTTTTTGTTGACCAAAATACGCCTCTGCTCCTGGCCGCATTCAATGGCCTGGTCAAACAAATTTGCGGTAACCTGCCCGTCTTCAATTTGGCTCAAGTCGGTGCCAAATAATCAGGCTAAACAGACTGACCCAAATGAAACGCCTAATATGCTATAAGCCAGCAATAAATCATGATCAAACAGTTGGCCATAAGCCGAAATTTGTATATTGCTAATAAAATTCACTAACTTATTCAAGTTTGTAATTGCTGCCAGCGTCGGGCTTGGTATACATTCTCAGGTGTTCAGTTAAAAGAGCCGGTAATAAGAGCATCCTTCTGCCAGACAAACAAGACATGCAACTGTTTTTATTGCCTGCTTTGCCACAGGCATACAAAAAGTGTCGTAAAACCAAAAGAATTGTGTGCGACAGCTGTGTATGTGTGTGTGTGCGAGTTTGGGGTCATGGGGTAGGGGCAGGTGCGGCAGGTGAGCGTTGTATGCATATGAGACATTTGTCAAGCTTGTTTGCGTTTGCCTGCGGCTGTATAGAAGGCAACATCTGTCACTTTACATATTGCATACCCTTAGATATTTAGAAGAGGATACTGACGACGCCTATTCCCAGCTGACTTTTAGGGCATACAAATTTGATTATTTAGTTTTTGGATTTCACAAATATGCACATATAATTCTTATTTTTATTTTTTTTTAGGGTATTTCCCTTTCGACGTGTGGGCCATGTCACGTTTGGCGTGGCCCTACAAAGCCAGTTTGTCACATTGCACAAATCCTTGGGTCTCAGCAAAAATAGCAACGCCAGCTGCCAGGGGGGGGCAAGGGGCACGAGTAGAAAACTGCTGTTGTTAATTGCTGGCTGGAAGTTATGTTTTGTTGCGTGCCGCCTTCCCCCTGCCCCCTGCCCCATGCCCTGTGCCGTACATACATTTCATAGCATATTTTTCTACTTTGTAATCCAAGGAACGTTGCTAGTTTGAAAACAAGTCAGGCTGCTCTGAATGGGAATGTCCAACTATGTTTTACCCTAGTTCTAGTTCCCTTAAACCCATGCTACAGGGTATCCAAAAAGTGAAATACTCCCGACTCGTCTCCTTTCTGCCTGTTATAAAAACGAACTTTGTTTTTGGCTGCATTTTTGGGGCAGCCGCAAATTTAATTGGAACTTTTGTCATTGTTTTCAGTGACTTTCAGCGCAATTGTTGAAATCTTATAATGGCTAGTAAGAGGCCATGAATTTTGGTGTTCATTTCAATACCATTAACTTTGTAAGCAACTAAAGCTCATTAACTACAAATTCGACCGGTATCTTATTACATATTTCTGTGCAATAATTAAATTTTGTTGTTTCTTATTACAGTTAGATCTGACTGCGACTTCAAATGGAAATCCCTTGGCATTGCATTGCTTTAAACTTGAATTTAACTTAAAGACAGCCCTCATTAAAGCTCGCACACACATACACCCACACTTCAGGGCCTAGACAGCTTCCGGCCCAGTTGTTTATACAGGCTTCTGTGATGTTGTGTGTGTGTGTTGATTGATGCAAAACTTTGTGGTGTCACATCAACTTTGGGTTGTGCGTGTGTGTATAGTGTTAAAAGTAATTAACTAATATTCTTTGAAATTGAAAAAGTTTTAGTTACGTTCCGCGGCAAACCGAAGCTTATTGATTGATATCCGATATTAGATATAAACTTTTAAGAGTCAGAGCAATCGCCGCAGCTTTGCAAGGTGCGCGGCTCAAAGTGCTCTGCGGATGCATTTCATTTGGAAAGGGGCCCGACAAAGACAATACGGAGGGTTTACGGAGTGCTTTGGCCCGTTTACGCAACAGAACGGGCCCCTCAATTCCACAACCGCAACCCACTCCGCCAGCCTCACCATTGCCCTCCAACTCACACAGCGGCAGCGGCAGCGGCAGATATACGAGCAACGCCCAACAACTGCCGCCCACTAGCCCGCTCACCGGACCACGTCCTCAGCAACAGCAACAGCACCCGCATCCGCATCCACACACAAAGCCAGCTGCAGAGGCTGAAGGAGGAGCAGGAGTACGGCGAAGAGAATCGGCCGCCGACGGCAACCACATCAATGGCCTCACTCACTATGTAAGTACAATTTAATCATTCTTACCTTGTAGGTATTGTGGCATGTAGATCCGCTTAAAGCTTAATACACAAAATCGGCTTTATATATTATCCCAAAGCATTTCTCAGAGTGGAGGATGTCACACAAGATCACATTTCAGGTCTACGGCTATTTGAACAGAGTTATTAAAGCACACAAAGCACAAACACACAAAAAAAAATAAAGTACGGATCACGCAAAACGCATGGTAGCTTTATTGAATAGTGACCAGCTACCGCGAACTTGTAAAATACCAAAAAATTTGCTATTGGTATTTTACAATGCACTTGCTCGATAAGAAACATGTACTGATCGATCTATCGATAAAAATGCTGCATATTGAAGGCAGACTTTTACAGCACTAACATTTAAATCTGTAATCACAATGAAATAATGTGTAAAATTACAATCGGATTTCTGCAATCACATAAGTCATGCTATTTTAAACTGATAAAATCATTTGCAATAAAAATCTATATTTACAGTGGCATCCTGTTAAATTAAATAATTAAAATTGTAATCGCAACAGATAAAAGTTCATTTCATTATTTCCAAGATGAGTTGTTAAAATAGTCGGCTTTATTTTTATAGTCGTTGTCGGCAGCGCCATAGTGCAGCACTTTTTACTGATTTTAATGCCCGCGGTAATTTGATTTGAGTAGACTTTTTATTACATGGGCGGGGATATTGTGTCTGAGCCCTCGCAAGGGAAACAGCGCTGAAAACAAAAGCAATTTAATTGCTTAACAACATTTTACCATTAGACTTAATTGGATCGTCGAGCCAAATAATAAGTGCCAGTGGAGAAGGGGGTGAAGGGGCCGAAGCAGGCACTCCAGTTGAACTGCCGAGCAGATGAACAGGTGAATATTAAACGCCAGACATAACACGTTAATGAATTTTAATGAGAAATAATGAGAATTACTTGCCACACCGCCAAAACGCATGCATTCTAATAGGACAACCCACTTCAAAAGGGGGAGATTGGGACGTGGACGTGTGGTCTCCCGGCCGGAGACAGGTTAGATTTGCGACTTAATTAAAGCGCTGCCCCACCTGCCGCCATGTTTTGCATGCGACTTACAATGGGTGCTGGATGAGAAATACTGAGAATTGAGAATGTGTCATCGAGAACTTGTCGTCTGCATATGGAAAATTGCCAACGCCAATGGCAACTAGAGAACTCGCCCTGGGCCATACACAACATTTTGGCATACTATTTAGCTGCTGCTTAAGAACAGGAAACGGAAACGGAAACGATACATATTCCGATACATATGTATGTGCTCATATATGGGTGCATATATGTGTAATGAGATGTATACATACATATATTCGGGCAACATTCTCTGTCTGTCTCGAGTCACGTTCTTCCACAACGCGCACAAAAGTATGCAAAAATCAAAATCGCTTCGCTTCTAGTTGTTGTGCGTTTGTGTGCTTGGCATAAAAACTTTAGCTCAACTTTTAGTTGAATAAAATTTAGGTACAGCTTTGAGTTTCTCTGCCCACAAAATGTCTGTTTAAAGGCCGTCGATTAGAGGTTTACTGTGGCATGTTTTGTCACAGCTGTTGCTTTGGTGAATTATTTGGAGTAATAACTAAGTTGTTCTCTTAAGACGAGCTCAAAACGTTTACTCGCCCCTTGACTCTAATTGAAGTCAATTTATTGGTGAATCAACATTTTACTTAAAATCGCGAGTGTTTGCAGACCTAATGAGAAAACCAACAGAAATAACTCAATGACTCCTCAAATACATCAAACTGTTATGCTACACAAAATCCCAAGTGATGCGCAAAAGGGTGGTACGCATTAATCAAGCACATAAATAATTAATGAGGCAACTTTCGGTCGCTTCAGGAAGAGATAATCGAATTCAATACTAGAATAAATTGCTTACTAAGCAGCCAAAACAGGGCCAAAAGCAGCTACAAAAAGGAACCCGCATTGTCTCGTATATTAATAATAAATATAAATAAAAAATATTTCATTTGATATGCTATCAGGGTGTGCTCGGAAAATTAGCCCAGCCAATTATTTACTCACCCATATGCTTAGTATACGTAAGTCTTTTACTTATATTCTTCATTTACAATCTGAATGGAATTCCGACTCAAAAATGTAAAAGCATGAATATTTGTAGTCGAATGTATTGTGGTTCTTGTCACGTCTTGCCTGCAATTGGCTTAGTCGACTGCCAAGTCGTTGCCAAGTACGGAAAAATGGAATTGGAATTTGGCAGTTTGTTCTGCTTGTTTTCGATGGGGGAAGGAACGAGGGAGGTCCTGTCCCAGTCCTGATTGTAATTACTTGTGCAAAGGCACCTGCTGAAGTTGAGATTCGCTGAAGTTGAAATTCCTCGTGTTCCTGGAAGGCAACATTGAAATCTGATTAGCCATTGAAGTAAATTGATTTAATTGATTTTAATTAAGTAATTGAAATGACAATCAATTTGGCAATGCCTCAATAGTAGCTGTCAATCGTTTACCTCATAAATCTGTCCCCGGCGCCATTTACTTGTCAGGCAAATTTATTGTGCATATTTCATGAAATCGGCAGACGGCGGCAATCACCTTTGACAGACGCCCTCAATAACCAGCCATAAATGTTGTGACACCCATATCTTAAGTTACTCGAACAACATCTGCTCCAGGCACACTTTCAACTGGATGCCATGTCAGCCATAGCCATTACGGCAGGCAGCTGCCATCAGTTCCGCACTTAATCACGACTGTAGCGAGAGGGCAAAACTGATCAAATAACATCGAGAATTTAGCTACAGTAATGCACCGCCCTCTGTGCGAAGGGGAAATACGCATCGCTGACAATTTACTTTGATCCTGTGCCCACCTTCTCCGGAGTAGCTACCAAGTCGCTGGCAATTGACTGTTCCTTTGATTTATTTGATTGACGGCTCCACTGACAGCCCACAAACCAAAACTCACATCTTTCACTTGGCGCAAAGGATACAACTTTTCTTGTAAACAGTGCGGTTGCCTCTTTGGCAGCTTGTTTGGGAGGTGCAAACAAGGCAAAACTTAAGAAAACGGGCTCTATGTAAATAACAAAGTACCTTATTTTTACCGATAAAACGCTTTAATGCTATGCATTAATTACTTTAGCACCTAATTTCAACCTAAACTATATCTTTAGTCTGTTGCATGCCATTGGAGCTCCTTGGGCGGAAATGGAATTGATTTCCTTGGGATATCTCTGCCTTTTTTGCTCTTGCATGCAAAGTGACATGCTTCGAGATTTATGGCCATAAAATAGAATGTAATAAGACATGTCTTTAGTCCGTTCTCTGTGGCATAAAATTCAAAGCTGGCCTGGAATAATTGACAGCATATTAAATGGTAATACATAAAGTTGTTTTTTTCCCTCTCTCTCTCTCTGTCTCTCTCTCTCTCTCTCTCTCTCTCCCTTTCTCTGTCTCTCTCTGGCGCAGTCGCGTAATTTGTTTGTGCAGAGCACCCTAAAACGGAATTGAATTTTATAAACTTTGGCCAGGCGATGAGTGGGGAGCAATTAATGCACTCCCTTCTGACCGAAAGGCTTGGCCCTCCCCCTGTTGGCCGCGCGAATGTGAGAAGTTGACTGAAGTTGGCTAAAGTTAGTACGGAACCAGGTCGATAGCGATGCGTCAGCTGGGGAAACCCAAAACCAAAACTTTGGTATATACTTCGAAGGACTAAGGCGGACTCCAATAGAAGGAAGGGCATGTGGAAGCTGTTGCCGTCCGTGTTGCTGTCGTTGTGTTGTGTCGAGTTTGAGCGGCTGTTTCTGTTGCTGATGTTGCTTTTCGTTGTCATTCAAGTGTTTTAATCAATTCTGATTTAATTTTATGCCCAATTAAGTGTGAAAAGCGTTTGATGTTGGGCACAAGCGTTTTCCCTGCACCTCCTCCGCATCCTCCATCCTGTGCGCAGCGTGTGCCAAGAGGCACGCAACCGTGAGCATTGAATATGCCACATCTATGGCCCTTAACGAGATGAGGCAAACGATTTGGATGCGATGTCGGGACTTCCTACACACATAGATGCAGTACGGTTCACTACCCTTGACTCGACTCTCTATTATGAAAGCACTCATCCACACACACTCACACACACACTTACACACACGCATAAAAATAAAACACCCATCAGACAGACCTTCCGCAAATGTCACACTTAAGTAAATTTTTGGTTATAAGTAGATGTTCCTGCTGCTGCTCTCTCTCTCTCTCTATTTGATATTAACTGCACACCTCTCACCTCTGCTTCTGCTTCATGTATCTTCAGCTCAATGTATCTATATTCTCTATCCAATTCTGCTCGTCTAGTCGATGTTAGCTGCTTGTTGTCGTTGCCTTGAAATCTATCTCTCTTTAACAATGGTTCAACTCTCTTCCTATGACAGAATCAAACATTGTTGGCTAAGCGTTATCCAATAATATTTATCAACAGCAACAGCAGCAGCCCGACTCAGCCTCAACCCCAAGCATTTTGGAAGCATTAGTCTATATGACAGCCGATCCGATCTCCTTATGCTTTTGGATATGTCTACAGGTAACCACAGCGCAAGCAAATAACATATATACCAAATAGGTCGAGCTAAGAAAATGTTGTAAAATGAAAAAGATTTTAATTGGACTAAAGACTATTGTAAATACTCTTTGTGCTCCTGCAAAGGCAATTGTGTAATTACCCACACGATTGTACCAAAGTGGCCCACACATAAGTCCATATATTTTTTCTTCTTACCTAGTTTATGGTAGGTAAGGGAGATAGCATGGACGCAGCTGTGTGAGTGCGCCATAAAGCAATTTCGTTCAAAATTTACGAGCCTCCGTCTTGGATGCCCGTCTGAATGCCACGGTTTAGGGTTATGGTAAGCTAACATGGGCACCTTTGAAGTTATGGCTTTCATCTGGGAAATTCATTTAACATGAAAATGTTGTCCTTGACCAGAGCTGCCAGCACTGACGTGTCCTTGTCCACATTCACAATTTGTTTAAAATACATTTATTATCTTTTTTTTTTATCGATTTAGATACATACATTAATTTCGCTATACATGCTTGTGATTTTGGGTGTCGGAGATTGTCGTAAGGCTCGTAAAACTCAAGCTTTGGGGCTAGCTTGAACAATAAAAACCCAAATTGTCTAAAGTTTAAAAGTGGTTGTGTAGTGTTCGCATGTAAGACGATTGGACTTGCGTTAATTGTGTTTAACATTAACTCAAGTATTGTCGGCTACGTAATATAAGCTTGTATTGTGCTAAACACTTTGCTAATTTCTCACTTTTCTATGGTGCGTCGTAAGTGTGTTAAAATTGTGGGATTGTTCACTTTGAATTTTCAATTCAGAATGTAACAATATTCACTTTGTATCTGTGTGGATGAACATGTTTGGATTGCAGAAACCACAAACTAATCTTAACTGTAACATGTAAATAAAAATATCACTGGCACTGTCACCTAAATCAGCCCAGCGTTCGATCAGAGGGACAGCCACCTTTTAAAACCACTGCCTACTAATTGTTGCACACACATATTCGCGCCATGCTGCGAATTAATTTTTTTTTTAATTTTGTTAGCATGTGAAAATTTTTTAAGGCTTTTCTTTATGTATGTAAATCATTTCTTCTTTTTTTTTTTAATTTTACGTCTTTTTCTGTAGAAATTTGGTTAGAGAGAAGTCTTTTCTTATGCCAAAATGAGCCTTAAAAACTAAAACGCTGGCATCATTCAATCTGCCAAAAGGGTCAGCGTTTTCAAGTAGTAGGCAGGGCAGTGGACACGTGTCCCAAAGTTGGTATTTTTTTTCTTTTTTTTTGTTTTTACTAAATTCTCACTGATATATCAAAAAGTTAGAGTATGAAAAGATAACTAAAAACGAATTCCTTTTTAGTTTCGTTGCGCTTACGTCGAGTAACGAAAGACATCCAGAAGCTACCCAACCACGCAGAGATTGGGCCTTAGGTCTTTTATGTTATACATATGGTCAGAATGTCGTTAGCGTTGCTCGCGCCTATTGCGAGCCTTTTTAAAGTTTGAAGCTTTTTCTGTTGTTAATATTATTTTTGGTTATTACTCTCTCCACGCTACGGCAGCGCAACAGTCCCCAAAACTGTCTAGATGTTGTCTGTTTATGTATATGTGTGTCTTTAGTGAGTGTGCGGTTGTGTTTAAGACGATGGCAAGTTAGTAGACAATCAGCAGGTTGTTTTCGTTAAATCCCGCCGAGTGTCCAGCATTGCGCACTATGAAATTCGATCCATCGAAGTGCATGCGTTTCTCATTGCGACTGCAAAGGGATAATAAACAAAATTATTTGTAATAGAATTTGCTGTTTCACTAGGAATTGAAACCCACCGCAAGAACAGATGCGAGGTCTTGCCTAACGAGGCGGTGCAGTGGATGCCAAGGGTGGTTAAAGTGACTGATCCGTTGCCAGGGCTAGTGCGAATGAGGCCCTTGTTGTGCTGGCGAGTCACCTTCACCAGGCCATCAGCGGCCTGAATAATGCGAAAGCCGTTGATGTCGTACATCTCGGTGCCGTCGTCTGCGCAACTGTACGATGACTTGGCAATCACCTCCTGTGCATCTGGCACAAAAGAGGGACCGTGGCGTGAGTCGCTATTGAAAGTGTGTTCAGTCAATATAAGCCTCGATTAGACACAGTCTGCTTCTTACTCATAAAACACTGCCAGAGTGTAGTCCTTGGTCAGGTCAGTGAAAGTGTCGGTTGTGGTGCGTGTTCCAGCGGTGTCTACCAGATAAATTAAAGCACAAGACTCGCTGGTGAAGCTCACACCCTTGTACCACATTTTGGCGTAGCGACTGTAACAGATAGTTTCAAACAATTTGAAATATGCTCAAGCATTTAATGCATGAGCATTTATTATTGAAATCTTCAATGACGCTATCAATGTTTAAAGTGATTTACTTACACAAAGTTGTTGGCCTTCATGCCGTCATATGTGACGATCTCCACCTTGGAGCCGCTCTGCAGAATGCGGCCATTTGGATGGATCAGAGCAGAGTTTGTGCCGTTGCGCGACAAGGACACGGCCACCATGCTGCGCTGATTCAACACGCGCACTGCCTTGTCCAGAGTCATGTCAATCCTGAGATGTAATTACTATTAGTATTTCAATTCAACTGACAATTGGGGTACGCACCTAACACCTTCGCGCAGGCGCAGCTGAATCGTGCCATTGGACATGGCAATCGGCCCGGAGCCAGGACAGGGTGGTGGTGGTGGCGGACTATTCTCAAACTCAAAGGTGCGCGAACTAACGCGACCCAGAGCATGAGGTGGTGGCGGCATTGGCGACGGGAACTGCTGAGTGTGGTGCATGGGTGGTTGCGGTTGTGGCTAGAAGTGAAGTAGATGTTAAACTGGTCCATCGAAGGCCTTAGACTTTACATACCTGACAGTAAGCACCAGTCTCATACCCAAATGGGCCTGCGAAGCGAGCAGTCAACGATTTGGTGCTCAGGACCAAAGGCTCTAAGTCTGCAACAGCGGTCAATAGCGGCTGCGACTGGTGCATGCTCATGCCGATGGTCCGGTAGGAGCCAGTAGCACCAATGGCATTTGTCTGGCTGGAGCACTCCTTGGCCAGCACAGAAGTATTGGTGCCCACACTGGCACTGCCGCTGTTCAGTGACATGCTGCTCATCCGTGCTGATAACGAAACAGCCGTAGTAGACAAGCGCATCGACGACTGCTGCAAATTCAATAAAAGTTAGTATGCAACTGGCAAGCATTCAGCATTCTCGACCAAGAGACAGAAACAAAAGCGTAGATTCATTTGAGTTATCAAAAGTTAAATATATAATATAGACTATATGCTAACGTTATTGGCCACCATTGAGAAAAATTATATATACATTATATTATATTAGATATTAATAAGGTCGTGTATTTTGAGCTGTGTGAGAAACGGCGGAATATAGAGTTAATTATTATAACTCGACGACCCGCAAATATGGATGCAAACACAAAAATGCAGTGCTGTCGAAACATTTGCATTTTCACGCTTAATTAATTTTTAATAAAGAACATAAGATTTAAATGATATGGATTTATTTGAAATGATTTATCTGACATCGAACTTCTCACACGAGTACCTTTAACACACGCACACACACACCCACTGTCAAAAAAAAAAACTGTCTCACACAGACTGTCAATTGGAAAGTTTTCTTGACTGGACTTACCGGCGACGGGTTGTTGTTGGTGTACACCGATCGCTGGCGCACGCCATTTGGGGCTTTAGTGGGCGAGCGCAAGATATTGTTGATCTTGTCGTTCGTCTGGGCACGCGACAAAAAGTCCTCCGCATTGAAGATGCCCACGCGGCCGCTCTTCGGAGTGACAATGGTCTCCGGCTGCTGCTTGGTCTCATCGCAGGCAGCGAGCTGGCACTGCACCTCCTTGGTGTTCGGTTTGGTAACTGGAACCATATTTTCTTCGTTCGATGTCTTCTTGTGACTAAAAATTACAGTTACACTATTATGGGAACGGAGTTGCACGCGGGGATGGGAATGCGAAAAACCAAAGATTGCTCGACACAACGACTCAGAGAGAGGAATTTAATTTTTACTTTTTTTATTTTCTACTTTCAAGAGCTCTGCTCACTGCGAAAATTTGTGAAAGAATGAATTGCCACAACTGCTGTCCTTTAGCTAGTCATCTTTTCTGGCGTGACCGTCGCCTACTTTGCTACAAAGCAGCTTTACCAAAAATGTGTTGGAAAACGCACTTTTTCCACCAGCATTTGACAAGTTTCAAGTTGTTGAGCTGTATAATTTGCAATTGTTGCACACTTCTCGGCTGCATATTAAAATTACTGTTTATATTAAAAAAAAAGATAACATTTGTTTCAATATTCCAAACGTGCTTTACTCCCAATACGGATCTGAACTGCCAGTCTGATAGTATCAAAGCTTATTATATGTTATTTATTAATGTGACCAGCTTCATGAACATGTGAAAATACTTCAAACCAAATACAAAATAATGCTGGTATATACATCATAATACCGTTAGACTTTACAGCACTAAGTTTAAGAACTGATTTTTAAATCTATGCACAAGGAAAACTAAGCAATCCTTGTAACACTTAACTGATCAATATTAAATATAGTTGCATAATTTTTCCATTCTATATTTATTCTTTTGACGATTTAGATACATACATAAATTTCGTTACACATTTTTCTGAATTTTGGGTGTGGAATACTGTTGTAAGGCTCATTAAGCCCAGGCTGTGATTAATGTACTAAGAACCCAGTAATGAAAAATTTGAGAAATGTGTGTGTGTGTCATCAAAAGCTATTTGAACCTCTCTCAAATAACTTATTACATTATCAACTTGTATTTGATAATTTCTCACTTTTCTTTGGTGGCTTGTAGAATTGGAATATTCAAATTTTACTTGTCTGTATTTGTGTGGATGAAAATATTTGCATTGCTGCAACAACAAACTAATCTTAAATGTAACGTGTAACTAGATTTCTTACTGGCACTGTTACTGCCACAAGATCAGCCCAGCATTCAGAGGGACAGCCATCTCTTAAGACCACTGCCTACTAACTGTTACACATACATATTACCATGACGCAAACAGAAAAAATCTTCTGTTTTTGAATTTTTAAAAATTTTTTCAGGGCTTTTCTTTACGTATGATACATTTTTAAATTTGTTCAAATTTTCTTGAAGAAACGTCGTTTTTAATGCCAAAATGACCCTTCAAAACCAAAAAAAGCTGACATCATCGATTTTGCGAAAACGGTCAACGTTTTTAAGTAGTAGGCAGGGCAATGGATACGTGTCTAAATAGGTTTCTTACTAAATTTTCACTGATATCAAAATGATTGAGTACGAAAGGATAACTAAAACCGAATTCCTTTTTTGATTGCAGTTCGCTTACGTCGGGATACGAAAGACATTCGAGAGGCACCTAATCATCCGGTCTACTATTGTCGATTATCCTTATGTGCTTTTTATGGTCAGGATGTCTACTGTTTCCCGCGCCTTTTGCGAGCCTTATTTTTAGTTAGTTTTTTTTTGTGCTTGATATAATTTTCAGTAATTATTCCTCTCCACGCTACGGCTGCGCTACGGTCCCTAAAATTGCGATAGATGCTATTTGCTTCTGTGTGTGTCTTTCATGAGAGTGCGGTTGTGTTTAAGACGAGGGCAACTTAGTAGACTATCAGCAGGTTGTTTTCGTTAAATCCCGCCGAGTGTCCAGCATTGCGCACTATGAAATTCGATCCATCGAAGTGCATGCGTTTCTCATTGCGACTGCAAAGGGATAATAAACAAAATTATTTGTAATAGAATTTGCTGTTTCACTAGGAATTGAAACCCACCGCAAGAACAGATGCGAGGTCTTGCCTAACGAGGCGGTGCAGTGGATGCCAAGGGTGGTTAAAGTGACTGATCCGTTGCCAGGGCTAGTGCGAATGAGGCCCTTGTTGTGCTGGCGAGTCACCTTCACCAGGCCATCAGTGGCCTGAATAATGCGAAAGCCGTTGATGTCGTACATCTCGGTGCCGTCGTCTGCGCAACTGTACGATGACTTGGCAATCACCTCCTGTGCATCTGGCACAAAAGAGGGACCGTGGCGTGAGTCGCTATTGAAAGTGTGTTCAGTCAATACAGTCAATATAAGCCTCGATTAGACACAGTCTGCTTCTTACTCATAAAACACTGCCAGAGTGTAGTCCTTGGTCAGGTCAGTGAAAGTGTCGGTTGTGGTGCGTGTTCCAGCGGTGTCTACCAGATAAATTAAAGCACAAGACTCGCTGGTGAAGCTTACACCCTTGTACCACATTTTGGCGTAGCGACTGTAACAGATAGTTTCAAACAATTTGAAATATGCTCAAACATTTAATGCATGAACATTTATTATTGAAATCTTCAATTACGTTAGCAATGTTTAAAGTGATTTACTTACACAAAGTTGTTGGCCTTCATGCCGTCATATGTGACGATCTCCACCTTGGAGCCGCTCTGCAGAATGCGGCCATTTGGATGGATCAGAGCAGAGTTTGTGCCGTTGCGCGACAAGGACACGGCCACCATGCTGCGCTGATTCAACACGCGCACTGCCTTGTCCAGAGTCATGTCAATCCTGAGATGTAATTACTATTAGTATTTCAATTCAACTGACAATTGGGGTACGCACCTAACACCTTCGCGCAGGCGCAGCTGAATCGTGCCATTGGACATGGCAATCGGCCCGGAGCCAGGACAGGGTGGTGGTGGTGGCGGACTATTCTCAAACTCAAAGGTGCGCGAACTAACGCGACCCAGAGCATGAGGTGGTGGCGGCATTGGTGACGGGAACAGCTGAGTGTGGTGCATGGGTGGTTGCGGTTGTGGCTAGAAGTGAAGTAGATGTGGATAGAATTGGTCCATCGGAGGCCTTAGACTTTACATACCTGACAGTAACCAACAGGTCTTGCGAAGCGAGCAGTCAACGATTTGGTGTTCAGAACCAAGGGTTCGAAACCTGCAGCAGCGGTCAGTATCGGCATGTTCATACCAAGCGTCCGATAGGAGCCACTACCACCCACAGCATTGGTCTGGCTAGAGCATTCCCCAGTAACCACAGAATTATTTGTGTCTACACTGACACTGCCGCTGTTCAGTGAGATGATGCTCATCCGTGCTGACAACGACGCAGCCGTACTGGACAAAGGAACCGACGACTGCTAAGATAGCAATATAAATTATTCCTTCGATAGTATCCGGTATTTTATTTTGATCAAAACATTAATGGCCGCAATTTTAAAAACGGACCTTAATCTTTTTCAATTAATTAAACACACACACTAGCGAACAAATGTAACACTCACACACACACATAGATAAATTATCATGAGGAAGAATTTTCTCAGTAGGATTTACCGGCGACAGGTTGTTGTTGGTGTACACCGAGCGCTGGCGCACGCCATTTGGAGCTTTGGTGGGCGAGCGCAAGATGTTGTTGATCTTGTTGTTCATGTGGGCACGCCATAAAAAGTCCTCCGCATTGAAAATGCCCACGCGGCCGCTCTCAGGAGTAACAATGGCCTCTGGCTGCTGCTTGGTCTCATCGCAGGCAGCGAGCTGGCACTGCACCTCCTTGGTGTTCGGTTTGGTAACTGGAACCATATTTTCTTCGTTCGATATCTTCTTGTGACAGTTACACTTTTATGGGAACGGAGTCGCGAGGATGGGAATGCGAAAAACCAAAGATTGCTCGACACAACGACTCAGAGAGAGGAATTTAATTTTTACTTTTTTTATTTCCTACTTTAAAGAGCTCTGCTCAATGCGAAAATTTGCGAAAGAATGAAATGTCACAACTTTTGTCCTTTAGCTAGACATCTTTTCTGGCTTGATTGTCGCCTACTTTGCTGCAAAATATGTGCTGGAAAACGCATTTAGACCACCAGCCCTAGTCAACTGCTGAAGATATTCTGAATGCAAAACTGTACCATACTTTTGGGCCGAAGAAAAAAAAAGTAATGTAAGAACTGGAATGAAGAATGAAAAACCGCTGCCTAAAGTGATTTCTTATTGCACTTTACTGAAACTTTCTATATTTCTTTAAAAGTGAGCCGCTCAGAATTAAAAGCTAGCACTTTGCACTATAATATTAATATTTTGGCATTGTATTATATCACTTAGCTATTGGAAATTGAACAGAGAAGCTCTGATTTTAAATGGTTAATGGACTTGGCCGCAATATGTCCTCGCCCATGGCAAAAATCATCATTCATGCTTGCCAAAATTGAAAATTGCTTCGATTCGCAATATTTATGATTGTTCCGGGCAAGAACAGTGTCTGCCTGGGGTTCAGATGCGAATTCTTCCGTGACAAGTGAAAGTGTTCAAAACGTCAATTAGCCAAAGATATTTCATTACGATATATCCTTCAAGTTATTTGTTTGACTTTGTGGGGTTGGTTAGACGCCCGTGAACTTCTGCTAGCCAAATTTTGGGTGACAATTGTCGCATTTGTTTTTGGCCAATTGCAATTGAGTCGCTGCTGACACTTTGCTATTGCCGTTGATTTATTACGTTTTGGCCTGGCTAATGAGCGCATTGACTTTTTGCAATGTTTGGCCATCGGCCCACGCAAAAACTGACCATTCAGAACTCATTTATTTTTGCCAACTAAATTTTCATTTTCATTTCAGATTGTCAGCAGCATAGCAAATAAAATGTATGTAAAACTTATTTTTGGCTGTGCTGCTCATTAAAATGCTGCATTGCATAGCATATTTAAGTTGTGGCCACGCCCACACGTTGCATTGACTCAGTTTTAAGAATCCAAAAATATTGTTTACCACATGCATTGTATGAAAATGAAAAATCTGTTTCGGAATATGATGTATAGTGGGGAAAGGTGCGGCATTCGCCAGTGAGTGCCAGTAAAATACGGAAATTCGTTTGTAAAGAAGCAATGTTTTATATTTTCCCCGAACAAATTGGATAACCTCCTTTTGTATCCACAGACACACGCATACACTCTCGTATGTATACGTTTCTGTATAAATACAAATTTGTTGACAGGATTTTCAATGCTTTTGGGTTTTCGGTGCTTTAGAGGCGCTCCACGTTTTAGTTTTAATTGCGGGGTGGAGAGCTCGGTGCGGGAGTGACATTGCCATTGTAGTTGCCACAATTGTGAATGCGTTTTAATTAACTAGACTGCAACAGCCACAAGTTGCCACAAGCAATGTATTTCCATTTGCCACAGTGCCACGTAGAAAAGCTATGAATTTGAGAGAGTGCCACAAAAATCATAAATTGCCAGAGTTTGTGCCACCTGTGATATATCAACTGACAGGGACAGACAAACAATTGAGATTTAAAAACTTAATAAGCTTCTTTGTTATTCTGAAAAGGTTGTTCCTGCGGGGATTTTGCTTATGCTTGTGAATTATTTAATGGGAATTTTTAGTTTCTATTAACTTCCATGGTTTAAACGCGTTCTTTAAAAAGACTTCATAAAATGTGTTATATGAACGTGTCTTAAGACTCGACCCCATAAGTTTCCTGTCGTTTACTTTTACTTATGTTTTCCCTCTATATTCATAAGCCGATATTATGCAACAGAACGGAAAATAGCGCTTGTGGAAAGTGGGGAAAACTGTAAAACTATTTCCGTGGCGACAACAAATTTATGGCCATGTCAATGAACTGTGCACTGTGCATTGCCTCATCGCGGATTTTAGAATGGAGATGGTAAGCAGACGAGTGGTATTCATGGTATTGGAATTCATGGGACATGGAAGATGTGCGTCTGCCGATTGCTGACGTCAGGGCATGGAATATAGAGGGAGGGAGGGCGGCACACAGTTTGATAGGGAACTTATGGCATAATTGAAATTGAAATGACTACTTTAAGCCATTTTTAAATGAATGAATATAGCAATATATTCGTATTCTTTTATGCAATTTACATTAAAAGCAATTACCACAGGCGTAAAGCTTCGCCGACACTTGCTTTTGTTGTGGGCATATGTGAAATTAATTGATTGTCAACATCATCAGATATGTGCATATATATTTAAGTATACGAATAAGTGCATATATATATAAATAATTGTGTGAATGCAAACAAATACAAATGTATGTATGTAGGGTGGAGCCATTCATTCGCATCTTTGTTGGCAGTTAATGCATTAAACTCATGCTTATATCCGCCATAAGAGTCTAGACAGATATTAAGCTATATTCCTGATCTATAAGGTATACATTTCTTATCTATATCCTTTTACTAACGCCATTGATGCATTTATCCTCTCAATATACATACATATATAGAATACAAAATATTTCCTTATTTCGACTTGGCATTTTTTGGCTAGTTAACACGTGTCTCCAAGAAGTCACATCTTAATTTTCATCAACATTGCGGCATTCCAGGCATTTTCAGCCGTCTCCATTGTCACTCATTCAGTTTTCGACCATCATAAATCGCGTAAAGCTCATGAAATTTGAGTGACTTTTGTTTACACAGCCGTCCCAATGGACGAGCCGTACAAATCCCCCAACATTGAGGCTTGTCGGTTTGTCAAATGATTCATTGGGATTTCCTGGAAGTGCCGAAGCGAGCGCCGCCCAACGAAGACCAACGGACTCTGTCCGTGTCTGGGGCTGCGGCTGGGGCAGGTTCTGGGGCTGGGGCTGATTCGTGACCAGTTCACAAAAATAACGCAAAAGTGTGCCCAAGAGCTGCGTCTACACAAATTGGTGGACGCCAGTTCATCTTTTTTAGGTTTGACGTCATCAACTCGCAACGCCTTGCCAAATGTTCCCAGTGGCGCGCACAATTCATGGTTTTAGCTATGATCCCCCTTCCTGCTCTACGACGGCGCCTCTGCGACAGCAAAAGGTGTGCTCGGGACTTAAGGGGGGCCAAAGGAGGTGTAGATCTTTCGTAAGATTTAATGTGTGCTGGCGCATTGCCCGTTTTGTAAAGCAAAATTTTACGCTCAATTTAAGCGGCAAACATCTAAAGTGACGTTGTCTTTTCTACTTTGATTATTTTTTCCATAAATATAGGTCAAAAAATGCATCAATAATTAATACACTTGTCGGAAAAAGTGTAATAAATTTGAATAATAAATGGGAGCTGTCCATGCATATAGAAAACAAACATTTCTGTTTACTATATTCATTATTTTTTAAATAGAAACAAAAATAAATGCTATGCGCTGAGTGCTTAGCATTACAATTCGTGAGCTGTCTAATTATCTTACAAAGGTCACAAACAATGGATGTGTTTATAAATAGGCAAAGCAAAGCAATCAATTTAAAAATATCCTTCAGACTTCACAGTATAGCTCCATATGTATTTATATATATCAAGGATGATCTTATGTTTAAATAAGGTATATAATTTTTTCGTATTCATTTCATTTGCAGATATTTTATCTAAACAATGCACAAGAATTTATATTCCCTTAACATTGAAACTTGTTGAAAATTGTTTCCCTCTACATGGATTCTATAAGATTGCAGACGTGCCTCTTGGGTGCACAGTTCACACCCACCCAAATGAGGAGATGGGATGTTGGCTGTGTGCAAGGGCATAAATCACGCGACTTTTAGTCTGAGGTTCCGCCTTCTTTGACTTTGCCTTTATCTTTTGTTGTTCTTGTTGCTGTCGCTGACATGCTGGATTTTTGTTTTTTTTTTTTTTGTATTATTATGGCTCATTTTTATTTTTTATTCTCTTTAAATTTATAACACATGCATTGCGATTGTGCAATTTGCGAGCTGTCTTCCCTATATTTTTTGACTTTTTTTTGGCAAATGGGCAACAATAAATTGCATTTATTTTTAGCGCGGCTGGAACAGAGGGGTGCACTTGGGACATGGATGTACCCAATGTACCAGGTGTATTCACAAGGTGTGTGCAATATTAATGACTATGACTTCATTTACCTAAGAGGGGGTAGAACGTCGCGACGCTATGCGACGCCAGCCCAAGGGACACAGCCCGAGACGGGCGGCAGCCAGATATAGAAGACAGACAGAGCCGGGCGACAGCCAGGGACGGAAGACGATAACTGAGACGCTGAGGAATGCCAATTGAGTTCTGGACGGGCAGGTTCAATGCACTGCAAACAGCCAATTCAATTGCGCGAGCAGCCATTGTAATGCCAATTGGGCATTAAACAGAGCCAACTATTGTCCGTCTGTTGCCCCAAGCTGCCCCGACCGCGCCGCAGGACCACAAATTGCTGTCGTCAATGGATAAGTTTAGTGCACGCAGCGACAACTAAATGGGTATAATGGAAATAATGTCGACGCAGTCATTGAACGGAATTTTCTGTTCGCCCCACCGCTGGTTCGTAGTATCGTGGCATACAAGACTGTCAGTCCCAGCCATTAATATCTGGTTGGCCGCGGGAATGAAAGATAAACGAAGGAAATTTATAATGTGGCACACACACCTTTCAAGACAGCTAAAGACTCTGACTTGCCACAGACTCGTCTCCTCCCAACAGCTTATAATTCTATGACCTCGCCGGTGTAAAGGGTATGTTACACTCTAAGGGTGAGCTATTGTAACAAAAGAAGTTTAGAAAATAGTGAAAAGTTTCTAAAATGTGGGCTTTCTGTGTGCCGTCAGAGTTTTGGAATAATAAGCCATGGGTGAACTGCAGTTTTTTCAGTTATTCTCAACCATAGGTAACAGATTCAATAGAATATACCCGTGGTATCCTTGATCCAGTCTAGATAGCTGGTGACCCGAGTAAAGCCAGATGGTTCTCCATACTCGCAGCCATAGATAGAGCCGAAGGAGGTGACGCCAATCAGTTTGCCGCTGTTGATGTCCACCAATGGGCCGCCCGAGTCGCCGCTGCATGTGGATTTCTTGTTGGGCGTGGCAATGCAGATAACTTTGCTGGATGCAACCACATCGCTATAGAACTTCTGGCAGGCATCGACAGATATAATATCAAAGATACTGTATTGCAGTGTATCTGAAAGATCATGGCTCCACTGAGAGGTTACACCCCAGCCAGAGGCAATAGCCTGCTGGCCAGCATAGGTGGAGTAGCTGCTGGAAATTGGCGGCAGCTCGATTTTGTTGATATAGGCGCTAAAGGCAATCACTGGCGTGTTGATCAAAGCGATGTCATTGCTTAGCGGACGGTCGCTGTAATCCGGATGCTGCACAAATTGTGGGCTCATCGCAACCTGGTAAAGCAGGGCCGACGTGCGCTCCGTGGAGCCGTAGAAGATGACCACATTGACGGCGCTGCAATTGACACATCCTTGTGTTAACTAGTTGCTTCTGTCAGCCATTTGCCTACTTACTCATCCGTACAATGGGCGGCAGTTAGGACCCACTGTTCGCCAATTATGGTGCCGCCACAGAAATATGTTTCGCTGGTTATGCCACTGAGAAAACTGAGTCCCACCTGGTATGGAAATTGACCCTCCGCAGCAGGTTGTCCATTCGTGATGCGTCCTTGGACGCCTTGGACTGCGCCCAGGGACTGCACCCCCGAGGATATGGAGACGGCAACGTTGGCTATAACCAGAGCTATGACTATAAACACTTTCATATCAACTGACGGTCGTTCGAGAATTGGACTCTTATTTTATTATAACTCATTATTTTATGGCAGTTATCAGTGAGTTCTTAGCTGTTTTCAAGTGATTTACTTTAGCTTATCAATACCTCACACAGTTCGTAAGGTCTTTTTTAACTTAAGCAAAACAGATCTGTATCTCTTAACTATACTTAGAATACAGCCCGCGCACAATTTATTATAAGCACTCGAGAAGAAAATTGATAAGACAGTTAATTATTTGGGAATTGAGGTGTGAAAAGTGTGCGCACCTCAGCTTAATTATTTATATCATTTTTTCATTATACTAATATGGAAAGAGTGTACAAGTAATCCCCTATTGGCTAGAAGGTGTATACAAATTATTTTTTGTAGCTTGCAGCCTGTGTGGGGTATATCACAGTCGAGTATTTTGTACTTTGCATTATTATTATTTTTGTAATTATTACTTATTTATTACTTTAATTTTAATTATTTATTTATACTCTCTGCTAGCTGTATTCTAAATATTTTATGTATTTATTATTTTGTTTTCAACAATGTACGGGTATAGCCGAGTCGTGCATTGTTATTTAGACTTTCGTCTGCATTTCAACTGGCTTGTTTATTGTTATTCTCAGTTGTTGAATGCTGTGGCAACTGTCAAGTGCTTCATATTCATGTTTTCGGCATCGGAAATTTCAGCAGTACATATTGAGGAAAATTCCCGTTTCTGGTTTCTTGCCGTGGCCTTCTCTTTGGATTGGGAACAAGACAATATTTGTTGAACGTAAATTGCTTCCTCAATGAAATGAAATCGAATTTTCCAGATACTTGTACCTTTATGTTTCATGCTTCATAATTTACCAATTATTGTTTTTCGACTTTCGGGGCGTGTATACTTAAGAGCTGTGGTTATTGAGGCGTAGTCAAATTAATATTGGGGCCACAAAAATGGGAATGAAATAAAGACCATAATTATTGTTTAACTTTTTGTTGTGTATATGCAGCTTGCCTGGTCCTTGGCTGGCAAATAATTGCATACGTGTCCAAGCATTATTTATAGCTCCAAAATATTTGATTGCATGATTGATCAGATGATTGATTGCGTGGGTACATGAAAAGCAGTAATTGAAGATATATGCTCAATTCATTGGGCAATTCTCATGTGCATCTATTTGGACTTTCTGATGACAAACTTATCAAGTTTGTGTTATTTTTTTCAATGATTGGCTTTGCTGTAATTGGCCAAAACGGATCATGCAAGCATGTATGCAAATGCGTTCAATGCCAGCTCGTTGATTGAATATCGGGAAATGTACATGCGGCGCGACGCCTGTTGCTGGCCATTTGCTATCCCAAATTGCAATTGCTGTCTGACCCCAACAAAACTCAAAAACAGGAATTGGGCGTGGCGCGAGATGTGTTGTTCTTTTCGCTTTTTTTTTTCTTTCATGTCACAGTTTGAGCGCATGACGTGGGTGGGTGGCAGGCGGTGGGTGGTTGGGTACACAGCGATTTGTTTGCCATGCAAACATTTTTCGTGCATTTCCAAAGCGCCAAAAGCATGTCAAGGGAGCAAAAGCAACGTCAAATGTCAGCGACAACGACAACTGACAAGCATTTTACAATTTAACTCATGGAAACTTAAATGCGTTAAGTCAACACACAAACACACGCACACACACTAAAGCACTTTGCTGTCAAGAAGTTTTGATTTTTTTTTTTTTTTTGTAGAGGGAAACGCCCTACTTACTATCGATTTCAATTACTTTACGTATTTTCTCAGCATATTTTAATTTACTTTGCTCAAGCATAAATGAAAATACACGTCTTAACCCTTCTGCAGCCGCTCACACTTCAGTTAAGTAGTCTAATGAGGCATCCTGTAGTTATTTGTTTAGTTGAGAAGTCTCGAGTCTAGAGTCCTTGCTCGGAGCTCTGGAGTTGGATAGAACTTCTTGGCAGCAGCTAAGGCCAACAGCCAACAATCGAGTCTTAAGTTTATTAGTTAAACAATAATGAATTAGGGTTAATTTTTGGGAAATTAAAAGGATATATATTCTTGATGTAGGCCTGTGTTGATTTTCATATTCGCCTGCCTGTTTTTCATGTCAGTTTTCAACTTGACATCTCTTTTGTTTTTGCATTTGGTTCGCCAAAAATTTACATAAAAATGTCGTCAAATCATGACAGCGACCAAAAATGTGGCTATTAGCTGGAATTTATATTTGCTTTTAACGCTTATTTAATTTTATTTTAATGAGCTAGCAATTGAAGGCCCCGTCCCTGTGTCCGCCCCTGCTGACATACTTGAATTGCGGTCAACATGTGGGCGGATCCAACGGAAGTTTACCTTGGAGGCTGAACCCGATGACCTCCCCAACTGTTAAACGTGTTTCGATGCGCAATGCACAGCCTGTTAAGGAGTCGATGCTACCCGCACTTTCCACTGTTTGCCCAGACAGCTGCTAAAAGCGTTTTAATTGGCTGCTGGCGGCATTTTATTTTCATCTCTAGAAGACATTAGGATTAGAATCTGTCTTGTCCTTTTTGCCATATTCAAAAGCATCCATTTTATGCTAATTACAGTCACAGAGCAGCAGCAGCAACAACATCGGCAGCAGCCAAAGGATGTCTGCCCCGGCTCCTAGGCAACCATTTTTGCCAGGTATAATGGCATTGTGATTGCCACCAACCGATCCGCCCGCTCCGCCACTGCCGCCTCCTCCGCCACTCGAGTTGTACACGCGTCCGTTGTGGCCATTGCAGAGATTCTGCTGGCAGGAGCGGTAGTAGGTGCGAAAGGAGGCATCCGTTTTAACTCCATTCAGTATCTGCAAAGTGCGTAAATTTTATTTTTGCTCCAGACGCAATCTGTCTATCAGTTGATCTCCCATTCCAACCCAAGCCCATACTCACAACCGGCTTATCCTGACAGTCACGTAGAAAGGACATGACTTTGTTTCCATTTTGCTAGCGGCGACATATGAGGAAGAAAAAAAAAGGAAGAAGAAGGACCATAAGAAAAAGTTACTTCAGCAATTTTTCAAAATGTTCCCAAAGATGTCCCAGACGCTATATTCGAAGTTTGTTCAGCTGCGTGTTTGTAATTTTTCACATTTTTTGATTTTAAATTGTCTTTCGATTTTATGCCACTTCTATACTTCAGCTTAAAGTTGAAAATAACATAAAATGTGGTTCGCTAAGCACTTGGTTCACTCTTAAAGTTAAAATGAAACACTTAAGCTCGACTAAAGTGCGGAAGCCTTGGAAATCGTAAGGCTTTAAGCTTAGCATCAGATTAATCTGCAAATGCCGGCTTTAATCTTATTGATCAATTACTGATTATAATTTAACTATCATTAGTTTTCCTATGGCTGGAGCGAAAACAAGTTAACATTGCGAGCTCTTGTTAACCCAGTAAAGTCACAGCCTCAATTTACTTGTCTTATTCATCATTAAACCAGACCCAGTGAAGATAAAGTTTTAATTGCATTATGCCAGAGCATCAATGGGGCATTTAGTCTGGAAGTGAGAAGCAGCAGATGGTGCGGTGCTCTTTGTGCCTTGTACAAAGTAACTTTTAGTTCATTTCCCGCTGGCTCAATGCTCCTTTGATCCGGTAAATTCAATAACAAAGAGTTCAAGGCTTGTCGACTAATGAAGCGCCAGCAAATGTTTATCCAGCCCATGGTAAAAAAAAAAAAAAAAAAAAAAGAAATACGCAGATTATGCTGTTCCACAAGTGGGACGATACCAAATAGAAGACAAAGTTAAAGCCCCATATTATGGAGTGTAGGAGGTGGGGAGCATGGGGTTAGCAGCTGCGTATGCCTTGATGTTGTGTGTGACGCGCTGCTTGACGCGGCTTTTGTGGCTTTTATACGCCTTTCTGGCTTTCCATTAAATTATGGTAATGGACTTTTTATGCACTCCACTTTTCAGCGCAGCTCTTGGCTTGATTTTCTCTTGTGGCCGTGGAAATTAAAGCACAAAAGCTTCAACGTCAACAACAAAAAACAACTTCCCAATTCTAGTCTTATTTGCATTGCTGTGTCAAAACAATCGTTATAGACCTAGAGCTTGAATACTTGAACTGCCCTGGACTAAAGAAAAAAGTATTGTGTAGTAGTACATGATTTTGTCACCCAGCCAAGCACTTCATCAGCAGCAGAATCACAGCTTTTCCCGGACACCCAGCCCCATGTATGATGGGGTGCTTGAGTTAACCATTTGTGAGCCAAGTTTTTTATTGCGAATTGCAGCTTCGTGCCTCATTCAGCAGCTTGCAGCTACGTCTCCCTATTTCCATGGCAATTGCTACATAAATTTGCTATTCAAAATTGACGAAAAGCATAAGACTATGACCGACTGGTTTTTACTCTGAAATAAACTAAACAATTGCTAATTAGGAAACCCTTTAATTTCTTAACTATTGTTGGTAACTCTTCATTAAAGCTTTAAGGCTTTAGCCACTAACGATATCTATAACAATTATTTAAAAAAAAAAAGAAGACTTCATTTGGGGGAAAATTAACTTTGCTGCTATTGCGCTGAAAGGTTTGTATTAATATACTCTTTTGTAAAGTGCGTACTTTGCACTCTGAAGAGCATTTTCTGCGCAATTATTACACTCTATTTTTTTTTTGCTTTGTAGCAAAATTAATATACTCTCCTTTTATCCTTTGACCTGAAAGTCACTTTGAAATGCACAGAATGAAATGCATATAAATGTAATTTAAAATGGCGCTCAAAATGATGTGAGTTTCAGGCACTTATTGCTCATACGCCACATGCGCCCAGTGCCCATCATATATTCAATTACTTTGCCTGTGGGTGTGTGTGTGCGTATGTGTGTGTGTATTCAAGAGTCTAGCTTAAAAGCTTCACTGGATATGAGTTTTTCGCTAATTTGTTGAGCAAAAACTTCAGTTTTTGCCACACTTAGCAACAAAGTTGCCCCACCGAACTTTTTGCTGTTGCATATGTACATACATACATATATACACAATGAAAGAAAAGAGAAAGAAAAGCGCCAAAAATCGAGGACTCGTGTGCAGCTGCCACTTTGTTGCAAAGCAATCAGCCAGCTGCGGCTAAAAGAAGTTAAGCTTGGAATATACGAGTCTAGTTTCTAGCAGGATTATGGCTTTTTGGATGGGTGGCTACTGTGCTTGCCACTGTTGGCTACAAGAGAAGTTGCACGACATTGTATGATACTCACAATCGCTTCTTGCCGCACCGTCAGGCAATACTTCTTGGTGCAGTTGAGGGCGCGCACAGCGCTCGCGTTCGTCAGGCAGGTGGCATCGCTCTGGCCGAGCAAATAGCTGCAGACGTAGCACTCGAGAGCTGCAAGTCCAAAAATCCATAAATAAAAACTATATAGAAACTATATAAGAAACACGAAAAAGTACGCAACTCACAAATATTGAACGAGGTCATGACGTTGCCTTTCGCTTTCTGTGGCCGCTGATGAAGATGATAAAACTGATGAAGATGATGATGATGTTGTTGTGCTTTTCTTAGAATTTATTTATAGGCAACGCAACAAAACAACAACAGAAGCAACAACACACATGAATTTCTATTAAAAACACAAAATCTGTTCTTTTTGTTGTTTTTATACAAATTAATTGCATTAAAGTGAGAATTTTGGCAACGAGACTTTCTGTCTATTTGCCAAGTGGCACGACAGCGTCCTCGACATGTATCTACACATCTATACTTCTCTATACTCTACATGCGTTTTGTGTAATAACAATGACGTCAATAGACAACATCAAAAACAACAACAACAAAAACAACGGGTAACAAGAATAGCAACAGGCACAGCCAATGGCTAGCATTTGTAAAAACTGATTTCATGACACGAGACTTAGTGCTTCATAAAAATAGTCAAAAAATATTGAAAAAAAAATATAGCCCAGTAAATTACAAGTTGCCGAAGCTTATATACCCTAGCAGATATATGTATGTACATATATGTTGAAGAGTAGAACGGATTTTATCTTAAGCTCGAGACATGTACATATATTAATAAAAGAGTAGACCTGATTTAATCTTAATCTGGTTAAGAACGATCTCGAAAGACTAGAAATTATTATGTATTTATGTATGTATATGTTTTAGCAAATTCAGAAGATTATGCACATACAAATATTTTGCAGTAGCTTTTAGTAAATTTCTCTCAATTCAAGGCATTGCTAGATATTATACATATGTATATTCTTTATGAAGCCGGAAGTACGTTTCACTAAAACAGTTGCATATTTCATAAAGAAGTAAAATTTCCCTTGGGAAGGGCATCATTGAAACACATCTCGGCTCGGTCCCAGACCCCAAACGACCCTGTGCATTTACATCAACTGATTGTCTAACAGATGGCACAGCTGTCGCCCCTCCCCTACCATGCCCCACCAACTCATTTAGGGGCAATCAAAATAATGAGCTGTGCTCTTTTAATAGGCCTTTTACAGATTCACAATTTCATCGTAAAATCTGTGTATAGACAAGAAAATTAGCGCTCAGAATTAAAGATTATTTTTAAAACATTTGCACTGCACGATTTCTGCATAAAACAAAATCCACTGGCACGCTTCAGTTCCCCGTATTCGCGAATCAGTCATAAAATACTCGTCATTCATTCGTACGAAATCCCAGCACCCAAACAGATCAAAATTAACTCAACGCACAGTGTGCTCAATCCAATGTGCATGGTATTGTAAAATCAATTACTTAGTACAATATTTCCAGTAGATAAATAGACGATGATATTATAGGGCTCTATATTTGAAATCAGAATTCATAAAAGACAGCTACACCTTAGTCATCATCAATGGAATCGATAGGTAAATAATTGAAATGGTTAAACAATGTTAGGTAAATATTTCATATCAGAGTTGTCTTTGCTTACATATGATACGATCAGAATAGTTGCTCCTAAAATCTTACACAATTTAAGCAAGAGGGAATATTTGTGAATTTATCCATTAAAGGAATTCTTTCTATAATATTGATAAATCCAATCAAAATCATTCGATTTGGTCTCACGGTTATGCGAGTTCTAAAAATATTGCGTTATACCGTGAGATCTTCGAGAAATGATTCGTATCATCTTTTGTGTAGCAATCAATAAATTAAATGCGGTCACTGGAGAGTGGCGTCGACAGCTGAACTAGAGATTGGTTATTATACACTGTAAATGTTTATGGTTAAAAGACTCAACTGCATATACTCAAAGACATTAACATACATATATATAGTATATTTGGAATACGTCAGCAGAGCAAAGTTCTTGGAATCGCGTGGAGGTCTCTTGCAGAATTAGCCAGAGAGCGTGCCAAGCAGAAAAGCGTTTGAAATTTACCTGATTTTTGTTGGCTGTCATAAATTCGGAATACTGAGTAGACAAGTTTCGAAATAAAACCAGCTAATTTAGTTAAGTGGAAATCGAATAGTCTTGAATTGGGCGCGTGTATATACACACACAAGATATACTTATGACACACAACAATATCATTATAATCACGATACGAACCGTGCGTTTGTGCTGCACAGCAAATGACATAAAATGCCAAAATCAATGAGGCTTTTCGCATCTCAAGTTGTCTTCGGCAGCACGTAAATCGGTTCTCGGTATTGACAGTTGATAATGTTAACGGCTTTGGGTCTGGAGTACGACTGAAACTGACATCTTTCAGTAGAGGGCTCGATTGCAGGCCAACTGCCGTTTGGCTTTTAAACTGTTGGACTCAATTGGAATTGGAGAGTCATATCTTATCAGTCAGCGCCTGCTGATAAGGGCTGTGCTTTCTTTATTTACATAGAAAAGGCCAACTGTCTTTTACTTTTTATAGCTAGTTTGCTGTCTTATCTTATCTCTGATCAGTTTGCTTATAAGAACTGTCATTAAGGACATTTTATGTTTTTACAGCCTGAGCGCTATGTACCCGGCTCACCCATCTTTCGCGATAGCAGCGCACCGCCCAATGCCACGCCTACAACACCTATAACAGCTGCGCCCTCAGCAGCAGCAGCAGCCGCCACGACGACGACCACAGCGAGCGCTTCCCCCACCTCCAGGAGTCGTGGTCAAGGTAAGCTTTATTTTTGCTTTCAAGTAAACTCAATTTTCCGCCAGATTTTCTTTATAGAGAGTACAAGCAGCCCGCATTTTCCCACTTTCTCACACACACACATCTTTTGACATATTCCTGCCGCAATGGTTGACACACTTTCGGTGACATTTTGTGTAAATAAAGCTGGACGCCTGCTGCATTAACTGGCTCGTAATGCTTTTTCTCGGCGGGGCGCGACATATGAAAAGATTCGACATGTTGCCAATTTTTTGGGTCAAAGTCTCCATATCCATTGTGAGGGGGCGGGGAGAGGTTGCCATTGCATGCCACGTACACAGTTGCTTCCGTTGTTATTTTCAGCTATTTTGCCATCGATATTTTGCGAATTGTATAGCCTTCAAAACTAACGGGCAATTTCATAGAGCAGCGCGTTCAGCTCAGGTAGATATACACAGCTGCAGGTAAACAACAACATCGACAACAACAATGAGTTCGAATGATATCCAGACATACGTTAGACGAATCTTTTACTCAATTATTTGTGGAATTTGATTGTACGATATTATTTTTATGTACATATCTATCTCAATGCCTTATTCTATGTTTTTGTTTTGTTTTGTTTTCCTCGAAATCTCGAATCTGTTTACGTGCCAAATTGCACAGGTTGAGTTCAGCCGGGCGGCGTTTCCTGACGCGTTTCGGTAAAGTACCCTGAGAGCAAAGCGTCTCCAAACCCCAACCCCAAATAGCCAACAGCACATGAGTCATTTACCCATTTAATGTGTGGGTGATTAGGGTGCGTGCCACGCTACAGTTTATCGATTTTCTTTGTTGATTTAGAGCGCGCGATTTCTCATATAGTCAAGCACTGCAGCTAAGCTTTCATAGAATGAGCAGGTGTCGATTTTAATTAGTTCAACACTTTAAATCACAATGACATTAGAGTAAACAGTTTTTTAAAGCTGTAATTAATATAAAAAGTGGAGTAAGCTTTTGGTTGACAGTTAGTCGAGCATTAAGTAAAGCCTTAAGCTGGCATGTGCACATAGAATGCAGCATTATTCTGTCGAACTTTAATTTCAAAGCTTAAAGTCAACGTTAGAGTTATCAAAAATATCAAGATATTGGCTTCAGTTAGTCGAGCTTTGAGCATCAGTTTGTCAAGCTTTAAGCTTTAATAAAACCTTCACGCTTTTATCTCTTCAGGTTGAGGCAAAGTAATTAAACCTTATATTTATCTGCTTTTTATCGACAGCCATGACAATATCCCTTTCACATGCAGCACAGGGCAACGTAACGGCCTCAAAGAGCACCACTAACAATAGCAGCAACAACAACAACGAACCCAAGCCTTTGCCCACCTGCTACATGAGCACTCGGTCCGCGGCGATGATGGCACTTACGCTGGGCCAACAATCCAGCGAGAAGAAGTCATCAAAACCAGCTAGCGGCAAGCAAACCACGTCCAGTTCCAGTTCCAATGCCTCGCCACGCACTAACAATAGAGCTGTCTCCATGACGCGTCCTGCTAACCGATCCACGCCCGCAACGGCAGCTATGTCCACTGTGAATGCTGCTAATTCAACTTGCACAGCAACAGCTACGTCCACGACCACGTCCAGAGCCACGAAGCCATCAACGCCCACAGCAGTGCGGGCTGCTGCCCAGTTAAACGGCATAGGTATCCTCTCGGGCGGCAGCAACTCAAGCGGCTCGGACAATGATGGATTCAGCACTTCGGGCTCCTCAACGGCAACGGCTCTCCGTCGATTGTATTTCAAAAGCGGGCGCAGCATCAAGAACAAGATCAATTCATCCACCTCCTCCGCACCACTCAACAATTTGCCCATGAATGCCGTCTCCAGCGCCTATCACAACTCGGTGAGTGGTGCAACGGCCATGCATACAATGGGGGTCTCTGGAGTGCCCAAGGTGAGTAATATTCAAACAAAGATTAAAAAGGAGAAAAGGCAGACATTCTTTTCCTATGGGATATACCCTGTTCCGCTTCTGAGTTTAGGTTTATGTACACAGAAGAAAACAGAAAACAGTCGCACAACATAATATAAACCTAACACTATTCAAAGTATGTAAACGTTACTTGAATTCGTGAGAACCGCATAGAAAGGCGATGCGAATTTTAAAAGGCAACTGTGCAGGTTCTCAATACCAACTGACAACTACGATTAACAGAAAACTGCTCTTAAAACTTTTATAGATAGGTTTAGAAGTTAAGTTGAATTTAATTGAATTGCGAGTAGTTATATTAAATTTGAAGCCCTGTTTTGAAATTAATCTCTCCTATTATTTGTTTTTAAGTATACTGTAATTAAATTTTTTGCATAGCTGGTTGTGATGGGCACTTCATCGGCCTCCATTCCGGATACGACCATCAACACATCCACGGACTCGGCCTGCACACTCATTACCAATGTGACGCACACGGACACGTCGGAGACCTGCGATTCCCTGGACTTGGGTATGTAGTCGGACTGCATTGATTGATTGATTGACGGCCATTTTAATTAATCAACTAATCACAATGGTTTACGTTTGGCTTGTCCATCAGGCGACAATTCTGGCCCCAGCGAGCCGCTGTTCAGCTCGCTGGAGGAGCCTTTGCTCACGGCCATACAAATCGATTCAGAACATGAGGCGGGCGGCACTGAATTGGAACTAACGAGCTGCTCACGCTATCCCCCGCGACCCGACATGAATCTCCAGGACAGTACCGAGGTGAGTACGCCAAAGGCTGTTTCTGTATCTTGCTCTGCCTTTCGCTCATTTGCATACACCCACGCACACATATGCACACGCCAGAGCCAGGAATCCTGTTTGTCCATATTGACGGGGGAGCCGTCATCAACAACCCCGCTGCTCGTGTCGTCACGTCAGCCCAGCACGGCGCCGCCGCCCACACGTGGACGTGAGCACTTCACCTTCGATCCGCCGCAGTCACCGAAGTCGGCGCGCAGCAGCGAGAAGGCCCGCAGTCACTTCACCTTCAAGGATGAGACACAGCAGGCGCGCCGAGCTAGTAGCTCCCATTATACGGGCAGTACAGCCACCGCCGAGGCTAAAGAGATGCACGAGGAGCGCACTGCGGCCAATCGCAACAAGAAACTGCGTGCCAGGGAGCGCGATACAATGAATGCTAATGGCGGCGGCGGCAGCGGCAGCGGTGGCAGCACACGTAATCGGATCTCGCCCAGCGTTTCACCCTCGTCCAGCAACCGCACCAGTCCCAAGCGTGAACGGAAGCGCACCACGCCCTCTGCTTCAACGGGCGCCATAGCCAAGATCAACTCTGCGCCGCCAACAATGAAGGAAGGCAACTTCTTCGGCAGCTGCCAGAACCAAAAGCAGCGTCAATCCCAGCAGCAGCAGCTGTCACCCTCTTCTTCGACCTCTGCGCAGCAGCGTAAGTATTCGTCCAGTTCATCCAGCGGCAGCAGCGAACGCTGTCTACGAGACGCAGCCGCTGGCGGCACAATGTTTCCCTTTGATCGTGAGGCCCTCGACTATGAGCGCATCCAGCGGGAATGCTTTGCGCCCAGCTCGGCAACGGCCAGCACCAGCAGCGACTCGGAAGAAGGGGAGAATTGTTCCGTATACGAGCGCAAGCTGAGCGCCGACATCTTTCAGCAATACTCGCGTCTCACCCAACAGGAGCAGCAACAGCAGCAGCATCAGCTTAATCATGAGCGGGATAGGGATTGGGAGCGGGAGCGCGAGCGTCCACCCTCCCGAAAGAACTCCAAGCGCATACGACCAGATTCCGTGATACACACAACCATACGCGAGAATCAGCAATATGTGCCACAATCGGACGCGTTCTATCCGCAGACCAAGTCATCCTCCTCGCCCAGCGATCATTCATATGCCGAGCTGAACAAATTCGAGGATATCGCTAGCAAATTTGAGCAAATACCACCCAAACATGGCTCCAACTCGACGCTAAATCTGCAGATGCTGCATATGCATAGTCCAGGCAGCGAATCCTTGGCATCAGCATCACTTAGTCCCACAGATACCACACGGAAACGCTCTTTCAAAAGCAAATCCAAATCGAAGACGCAGACGCAGCTGCAGGCTCAGGCACTGGAGGATTTACTACCGGGTTCAAGTTCGAGTGCGGGCGCCATTAATGTGACTGCAAATCCCTTAGAGGCAGCCGCCGTCTGCAAGCAGCCCCGTGCCACAATCGTTGTACAACAAGTAAGTACCCCTCCATCCTCTCCATATATAACATACATATATGTACATATATCTGGCTGTCTGCCTCTTCGTCTATCTGTCTGTCTGTCTGGCTCTCTTTGTGCCTCATTTCCGCTTCTAGCTGCGCGCGCACTCTCTCTCGCTCACACACTCTCTATCTCTTCCTCTCTTATCGCTATCTCTCACAAGCTCTCTGCTTTGTTGCCGTGCCTTGTGGCAGCTCATAAAAAGCCTCGCACCGTTGGCGGATCGAGTCATTCATATGTTTACGATCCGCCAGAGAGCAACACAGCATCCAAGCAACAATCCGTAAAATAAAATACAAAATACGATATTAACCACTGCGTAAAAAACACAAAAAGTTCTTAACTGAAAATTCGCCAGAATATCTTAAAGTACTTTAAATACACAAACAGTGGCATCAAGTGTCGAAAAATATTGTTTTATCAAGTGCGTGTATGTGCCGCGATCCACTCCTGAAAGTCTGCCCGACATGTAAACTGTAAATCCGTATTCATCCACTTTAACCAAGAAACCCGATCATAGACTATACCAAAGAAATATAATCTCAATTGTTGCACATTTCCGAATTGATTCAACGTGAAAAAAGTACAACTATAATGGCGCCCTTCTATAAGCGCATTTGCCGCAGCCTATCGAAGCGCTACAAGGAGGTAGGTGTATCAAAAATGTTTCCAGTCGAGTTTATTGATTTTGACCATGACTGATTGAGTACATCAACAGGCCATCAGATAAGATAGGGTAGGATATAGCGCGCAGTTCATTGTTTGGCAATGAGCTGTTGCCCAGTTTATGGCGCCTATATCAATATCGATACCGATATGCTGATTTATTATATGACGTCAATTTGACAATCTGGCGCCGATGCCCCATAGTACTGAAAGAAAATGGGCGCTGGGGAGCATTTGTAATCAAATGGCCGTGAAAGTGAAGTCGAGGTCAGCTGGCAAAAGTTAATTAGCTTAACTATTAAATTGAGGGCCCTGCCGAATAGATTTTCCAGGCAATTGACTTTCCTGGTCCCATGAAAACAAGCTGATTGCAAAGATCAAATATCTAATTAAATGAAATGCCTGGTTTTTCGTTACTCAGACCAAGACTAAACATTTACAATTATGTTGAGTTGAACTCAATATTGCAGAACTTTAGTTTGAAACCTTAGAAAACATCATCACAATTCTTTTAGTATTATAACTTTAAAAGAACAACGTACGATTTTAAAGGGATTTACTTTAAATATGTTAAGTTACATCTTTTCCTTAATAGTTTTCAAATTCTTCAGCAATTTGATTTAAAATACTTTCAATCTCTTAAATTGTCATTTATATAACTTGTGACAGAAATTTTTGGTAAAACTATTTCAATATATTTTTAATATCCATTAAAGTCACATCTCAAGTTTCGAGAAAAACAAATTTCCAAGTTATTTAATCGTTTTGAAAAGCTTTTAAATCTGTTCCCATGCCATAACTGTGCTCGTAAATATCATATATCATTTTTAATTGAATTGTTGCAGTTGTACTATTTGTTAATTCATTTATGCAACGTCTTCCACAACTCACGCCGTGCGATGACAGCGATGTCAAAATAAACTACCAGAATCAGCAACAAATGAAAATGGAATCATGCCAAGGCGCAGGTTGTCCGATTCCTATAGATACAATATACACAAGTATTTTACATGCATATTTATTTACTTGCAAAATAAAAACATGAAGCATATGTAATCCATTCCCAGACTGAGACCGAGAGACTGAGGCGAAAACAATGTCCAAGTTGTGCGAGTTGTCGCACCTCCTTACCCGCGACTTATTTTGATTTATGAACTTTTTACGATTTCATTGTGAGTAGTTCGTTCTTTAATACCCTCGGGGGAAAAACATGTATGATATCAGAGTTTCTTTTCATGTATATACAGATAAACATAAGTAGGAGAAAAATAACGGAAAATTACTTATAATTATAGCAAAAACAAACATGACACGAACAGCTGCAATTATATATCCATATTATACTCTATTATAGAGACTCAGACATCCTGTAATAAGGTGCCCTATGTCTATTGTTGAGTTAATAAAACAAAAACAAACAAAAAAAAAAGATACAATTTCCTCAATATGCAGCGTGTTCATAAGAAATTTTCCAAAACAACGCAATTATTTCATATAGTATCCGACACGGTCATTTCGTAGAATTTGCTATAAAAAACCTGTTGTGAAATCAAAAACAAAGGGTGAGAGGGTGGCTATTAAACTTTGTGTTCAGCTGATATTTTGATTGCAGTTGAAAATCGCTTTCGAGCACTTTCTCTGGAAAGAGAAATTGAGACTTATACGAAGAAATTGATATTTCTGTGTAATTTATGCAAGCGACATCTTTGTTAACTATTCTAGCTAGCAGAACGGTTGCGAATCGAACGCCCTTTGAAGGCAAAGTAATTTTTTGACCGTTCTAGTATTTTGCTTTGTTGCGCAATCCTTGCAAATCATAACAAGAGCCAGCCCATTGTTGGACTGGTCGAAAACGAATTATTAGCAACTGCAACTGAAACGAATGCAGCCTTGGTGGTCACTATCTGCTGCCCCACCCCACACACACACACACCGACACACACACGCCAAACACACACACATGCTATGTAAACAACAAATGTTTTGCGGCAAGTTTCCTGCACTTGCTGTCCCTCACACTCGCCTCACACTCTTCCATCCTGGCCTGGCTATAAAACACACGTTGAATATATCAAAAACAGGCAAATAACATTTTCGCTTAGCTGCAGCTTTTGTTTTTGTTGCTTGTCTATTGATTTTACATTGAAGCAACTGGAGACGCAACGGCTGGGGGCTGCGGGGAAGGCTAAACAAAGTGTTAACGTGCAAATGCATTTGTTTTTAGGCCTTGGTGTCGCAAACAGGTAACATTTAAGGCCAACGCCAAAGTCGCCCACATGAATGCATTTGGCAACTCAATTCAGAGAACAGTCGCCCGTCCCAGCCACTCTGCCAGCTCTTGTGCTCACGTTGAGTGTCCTTCAGCTAAAAAGGAGCCTCGACTAATGGCTGCACAGCTTGAAGCACGTCAGATCCTCAGAAAGACAACGCGCCTTTCTCGCATTTAATTGAATATTTAATGAGATTATTATTTAAATTTGATTCCACTCTAAAAAAGGCCAACTGGCCCTGGGGCAGGTGTAGCTAGTGGGCAACAAGATGGTGCTCAATTATTCACATGGCAACTGGAAGGCACGCGAAATTTCCACTTGGGTTCATTGCTCGCATATTAGATATCGAAGCATATTTCGATAGAGGTCAATCAAACAATTTGCGGGTCAACAGTTTTAGCCCCGTGTGCTTAAATTATATAAGTGAAAGAAAATAATATGGCCAAACATATTATGCTGCCTCTTAAAACGCGGTTATTGACTTGGCTGACTACAGTTTTTGTTTACTTTTAATATTTTTTTTGGTTTTGTTTTTTGGCACATTTGTCAAGGCCGCGCACGAATTACGGCTAATTATAGCCACAGACATGGCAGAAAAATAAAAGAAAAGAAAAAGTTCACAGGCCGCCGCCGCCACTCAGTTTACTTGGCCCGTTAGATGAGGCGTATACTTAATGTCGCTGGCGTATACTTAATTTCAGCAATTTCTCTTTTTAGCGCCAGTTGGCAGCCAGCAGCTGGCGTTCAGTTAAATAGTTGGTGTATGTGTGAATGAATTATTTATCCTTAATTAAACATTCGCATGTTTTTATACCCTGTGCCCATTAAAAATGGATCAAACAGGTATAATCAAATTATGCAAATGATATGTAACTGGTTGAGAAATACTTAATATATATAACACGCAGGTCAAATCTATTTGCAATTAGTTTTATATACATTTAAAGTATTTATAGAATGCTGTTGGTCTTTAAAAGCGACTTTAACTTTTGAATACTGAAATCTATCATTAAATGGAACTCTACTCCTACATATAGAACACTTAGCTGTACATATCTCACAGAAAATCTCGCCACGGGGTATCTGCTGGTGCAGCACTTTTGTTTATGGCCCTCTTACCTGATTTCCATCGATTTGTTTGTGCTGGGAACACCTTTGTTGGCCTTTTTCGGGGGCAGTATGTTAGCCGAGTTCCAAGTGTCTTGTAAGTGTCATTAATTAAGTGATAAATGCGCTGCCCTGGCCAAGTGCCCCGCTCGGCCTGCGAGTGCAACTGAATACGTTGTGTCTTCCTGCTGCGAGGCGGCGACTTGGCTTGGAATCCATTGACCCCAATTGCAGTGCGTTGCAGCTGCGTTTTGCTGCAGTTTTTTGCAGTTCCATAAATAAACTACGGCTATAAATAAGCACACACATATGCATGCATATAGATGCAAGATACAAGATACTGTTGTGTCTATATGCCATGCACTTCATTGTTCAGCATCTGAAAATAGCCGCAGCACACGGAAATGTTTAAGCAAACACGAATAGTTGAGCTGCAACAACTGGAGGCGAGTTCAGATGCAATGGGCTAGCGGGCGAGATGAACTGATCAGTTCAATTGGGTTGCGGCCAACACGCACCTTTGTAAAGCGTGATTTTGCACAGACTTTGCACCCTTGCGACAGGCATCTGGCGCTTGGCCAACAAAATTACAATAAAACCGTATGAGAAATTCCCCACAGCGTTATTAATAACCATATGTAATCAACTGAAATATCGCACACGCGATATGGGGATTGGGGAACGGGGAATTGTAACAATAGAGCCAATAACAATTAAGTTAATTATTAACAGAAAAACGGCAAATATCTCAGTAATAACAATGTTGATCTATTAATATGTTTCTGGCATATGAAACACAAACAAATTGTTTAAAGCTTGCAGCTGCACAGCCCTTAAGCGAGCGTCCGTTAACACAACTTTACGCTGATCTACTTTTGGCTTATAATTCCCAATTAGTTTTAACGCAAGCTGTGTTAATTGTCCAATGTTCGATGTTTGCTTTGCTTGGTCAAAATCAAACGCTTTTATTCGTACTGCAGAAGTTTGCACAATTTTAAAGAGCCAACGGCCAGCATATGGCAGCTGTGTTCAATGGCCAACCGTTTTAGACACATACGCCCCCGCCCCGCCCCCAACTCGTAGCCAAGCAAATGCAATCTTTAGCTTAAAAATGTTGTATTTATAATGTTCGCGCTTGTTGTTGCCAGCATCGAATTATTTACGCTATTGAACATAGAAAAAGCGCCATTATAATAAAAATCAAGTGATTCGCCTGGCATGGAGCAGGCCAGAGAGAGCGAGCTTATTTTTATACACATTCAAAGCAAACTTAATGTATTTTTAAACGTCGACATGTTAATGCATGCAAAAAAAATACAATAAGGCACGGCAATGGGTGGCACGGGGCAAGGCTGGCACATGGAGGTGTGAAATGAGCGCTGGCAGACGCCGACAACTCGGGCAATAAAATTATGCACACATTCGGCATATTTTGTCTGCACAAACAACACTTGGCCCTTATAAAGTCCATACTTTTTATGGAATTTGCATTAAATTAAAATGTATATTGCATAGCTTGAAAAACTGCATAAATATTAGCGATGTGCAGCGAATACTTAATAAACAAATGAGATCCATTTGAGTTCTGTTAAACTAACAAACATAGTCATACGCCATGTTGGCCGGATCGGAACGCAACAAAAGCATCAGGCGGTATTTTTCGCATTTTTATTAGTTCATTTTTGGGCACGAATTTCATTAATTTGTCTATTTAAAAATCGCTGCATATGTTTCTCTCATTCTGTTCGCAGCTTTCGGCTAATGGCCAATTGTGAATTGATGGGAAGCACACTCTCTGCAGAGAAAAAAAAAGAAATCAAACCATAGTTGAGTTTACTCCACTAACAAATACTCTACATGAGCTTTTTAGACAGTTTTTTGATCGAATTAAAATAGTTTTCATGTCTGACATATTGATTCATAAATCCAAACTTCTCAAAAAATGCCAATCACTGTACATAAAACTCTTTGTCCTGACTGACTGAATGACTGACTGACTGGTTGGTGATCTTTGTTTGTTGGCCTCCAGATCAATTTGGCATCTAAATCTGAAAACAATATTCTGGCTTATTCTGATTTGCTCTAAACTTATATTCAAAGCTCTATATAAGAACTAAATGAATACATGTTTCAGCGGTTTGGGAAACTTCGCCCTCAATATTGGTAAATTGACTAACCGTCCGATCGGATTAAGATTCATTTTCAAAGATCTTTGGGAGTATTTATTTTAAACGTACCGTGGGCAAGACCGAGGTATACCCGCTAGTACTCTATATAAGTTTTTTTTTTTCATATTCATATCGAATTTATTCAACTAGAAAATAAATGCATAGCAACGCATGAACCAGAATTTGTTTATTTTTTTTTTTGGTGTTTTACGTGATTGATTAAAATAAAATGTTAATTTTTTATTAAACAAAACAGCCTCGATTAAATAAACCGCTCAAAATAGTTTGCGCAATCAATTGAGTCCTTAATTGAAGATGAATTCATAATTTGTTTGATTTGTTTTAAATTATTCTAAAATAACCAACACCACAATTTTGCATAAATACGCATTCACACTCACATATAGCTAAATAAATTTATTTTTTGAGGCTTTCCAGCTACGTGACTGCACTCACGAGCACATTCAAAGCTGCTCGGCACAACGGGGCGTATGACGGCGACCAGATATAAGCGGGTGGCCAAGAGAAAAAAAACCAAACTTCTAGAGCACGAGTTAATTAACAACACAAGTCAGGTTTTAATTAACATTTAACTCTTTCGGTCTTGTGTGTGTGTGGCACATGTCGCAAAATTACGCATACGCCGCGTTGGCATCATAAAAATTGATGTCTCCATCAAGGACTGCGAGCTGCGGGCGATTGCACCCGTAAATTGCTCCCCCGTGTGCGTTTGTCCAAAAAGTTTCACTTGCGTCCACTTGAGGCATTTGCGGGTATAACTTTCATATATATATATATATATATATATATATATATATATGCGGCAAGTCGCGTGGCAGCATAACCAAAGGTGTAACACGCACACACTCATGTGTGCATTAATTGGGCAAGCGGAAAAAAAGGTTTTTTGTCATGCGAGCCAATAAAGTATACAAAATTAATATCAACATTTACTGAATAAATACTCAAGTATTTACCGTGTTTACCATGTGTGTGTGTGCTGAGTATTGGTGTGTGTGTGTGCTGAGTGTGTCAGTCAGGCAGTCCGTACTTCGTCTTTACAGGTGGAGGCCTAACCCATCCTGTAATTTATGGTAAAACTTTTGTTGCTTGCGTAAATTTGTTGAAAAATTTTCAATTTGTTGAAATTAATGCGTTCTGCTTGTTTATTCGCGTATATTTACGAGTGCTTCTGCAGGTGAAGGAGGCTCTTCTTATAAAGCTAGACAAATATTCTTAGTAACTTTCACTTGTAATTTAGCTCAGCTGAGCCTAAGAAGCATGTCAATAGCTAACTAAATGTATAGATGCAAGGTCTAAAAACGAACCGGAAAGCACGAAATTTGAGGTTTTCATGGTTTAAAATTTATTCGCCTGCTTTTGACCCTATTCATTTAGTTGTTTAAAAAAGTATTTTGCCTCGACACCAATTGGCAAAATGCTGAGCGTCAGTTTTTGCCAGCAGGCAACACGCGATGCCTTGAAGCAGTTGCAACTGGAACGCTTCAAGGTGTAGATAAGGCGAAAAGTTATTGTACAGATTGGACTGAGGCACTCCAGCTAAGTGGAGCACAGCCTTGAGCCACTCAAACAGCAATGGACGAAGGACTGAATAGAATTTTTACAATGTAAAGCCAAATGCTAAAAAATATTTTAAGAGCACCATTCAATGCTAATTGAAGAAAGCGTAGAAGTGGCTGGGCATAAGGGGGTGTTCATTGAATTATAAGAATCCGCTTAAAGCAAATCCTCTCGTCTTGTTCCAACCCATACAGCCATCCCTCAGCATGGACAATACGGTCGAAACGCTGCTGATCAAAAATGAGGGGGATTTCATCAGTGTGGAGCAGGGCAAGGAGCTGAATGCGCGTAAGCGGCACTCACAGCAGCTGGCACATCCGCCGCATGCCGGCCAACTGCATCATCATCATCATCATCATCACCAGGTGCAGGGACATGGCTACTCTCAACAGCAGCAACAACAACAACAACAGCAGCAGCAACAGCAACAACACAAACGCGATGAGAACATGCGACAGCTGTTGGATGTAACCAATACCCTGACAATTGAGGAGCTGCGCGACTTTGAAATGCGGTAAGTCTTTGAGAACGCCAAAGTCATCTATTGAAGATTGCATTTTATGCCACAGCCATAAACATGACAACAAATTCCTTTTAACCTTCAACCAGGCAAATCAAATAACAAAAGGCTATTAAAATGTTGTATGTAAAAATATATATGTGTTTATAAAATACGGCCTTCGACTGCATTTGATGGGCTGCAACTGATTTAAAATTTATTTATTTTGAATATCAAAAACGCTAAATTCTAAATTCATATATAACGTATACGATCTGTTGCCCAGTTTAATGGCAGTTTACGTGTTGATATGCCCTTCAAAATGTTATAAAAGAAAAAAAACGAGCAGGCAGGGAATAGATATTGTAATGTCTTTGCCAAGGGTATACTTTTATAGATTCGATTTAACCTTTACATCATGAAGCTCATCATGTAAAAAGTGATTCGAAAACTTGACATTTTGATTTTGTAGTGTGCATAGCAAGCTTAAAAGGCCTGACTATGACGTCTATCAATGAAATCTTAAGGCCTTAGATATTCAGCAGACATAATCCAGACGCTGTACGGAATCTGAAATGTCCGCCCTATCGAAGAGATTTACTTGTCGAGTAGCTTAAGAATTTGGGAAGATGTCTGCAGCTCTTAAGTCCTACAATGTAAATCGTAGAGAAGCTTAAATATATATGCAAAAAAGGCTCAAATCTAATGCTCAATTAAAGTTGATATACTTTTGAAGCAGCAGCAAATAAATTGAATTGCCATTGAATTAATGCACGATATTGCAGTTTGAAGCACATTTCGTTTACACCTTTCCCATGTGGAAGGTTTGCAGCACAGTGCATGCAACTTTGTGGCACTAATCGAAATTGGGGCTGAGCTCGTGCGGACAATATGTGGTCAACGGCTTGCACAAGCCATGGCCTCAGAGCCAGAATACCACCTGCCGTGCACATTTGAAAGCCAAGTTAACAAAAGTGCCTGCAACTGTTGCCAAGGCCAAGCCGCACACGCACTTCGATACGGCTGTGTGGGTATGTGAGTGTGAGCGTGTGTGCGCGTATCTGTTGTTAAGGCGTATTCCAATTAAAGCTTACATGATGCAACATTCCGCTGAAATTGGGTTTCAGCTGCTGTCAATTGCAGCTTTTCAGCTGCAAAAAACTGATTTTTAGATTTAAAGCAGCAATATTTATTTTTTATTAACGCGCTTAACAATTGCAGCTATGGCTCACCACATCACAGCCGGTCTCAGTCGGTGAAGATGCCTGGCAGTCGCGCCTCTGGACGCCCCAATCAGCTATGTCTGCCCCAGCAGAGATCACGGTAAGTGCTGCTGCTGCATTTGTTAAAGAAGCTCGACTCATGCTTCAATCCCGCCGCAAAATATAGCGTCGCCTCCATGCCCAATACTGGTGTCGAGGAGGAATACTACAGACTGCGGCACTTTTCCATCACCGGCAAAGGCGTTGTAAATCGCGGCGATTCGTTAAAGAGTCGACGCAGTCGCTCCAACAACAGCGTGGCCAGCTCCAACTCCAGCACGGAGCACCTGACCGCCCAGCAGCAGCAGCAACAACAGCAGCTGCAACAGGGACAACAACAGCTGCCCGCGCCCACTTCCCAGTCGGCACGCACCTCGCTGGCCTCCAGTCGTGAGAGCAGCACCTCTAATCCGGGCAATGGACCCTACAGGTAAATCCGGCACTAAGAACAACTACAGAATTTGCCACTCAACTTGAATCTAATCCCTTTTTCAGAGTTCTGATGCTTGGCGGTCCGGCGGTGGGCAAAAGTTCGCTGGTCTCACAGTTCATGACCTCGGAATATTTGCATGCGTATGACACAAGCATTGGTGAGTAGCCCGAATCTCCCGTCCTGCAACTGTTGCACGGTCAGCCACTGGCCACAACCAAATACCACTTGAATGCTGCTTAAACTTCGTCTTAGTGTTTAGGTTTTAATGCTTTGTCATTGTATGTGTGTGTGTCTATGTGTGTGTGTCTGTGTGTGTGTCTGTGCGTGTGCTTGTGTGTGTTTGTACTCCTTGTGTTAGTGTCAGTCTGGTCCTCAACCCTTGACCCTTAAGTGTGTGTATGTCTAGTTTTGTTGTGCCTTTAATTTTTGGTTTGGTTTGTGTTTGTTGCCTTGGCATTTGCCTTCACAAATGTTTTTCTTTTAATTTTTTTTACGTGGCTTTTGAGTATGTTTTTGTTTATCTGTTGAATTTGTGTGTCGTTTTGTGCTTTGCCCTTGACTACAACAATTTACGACCATCTCACAAACATATTTGTATTTATTATTATTTGCTTTGGTTTTTTTTTTTTTTGTTAATTTTCGCTTTATGTTGGTTGACTTTTTACGACCCCCGCCTTGTACATATGGACACGGAGATTTGATCTCATAAATTGGCGTAAAAGTCCATGGAAAAAAAAAGCAAATTTTTGCTGGAAAATTTTTACAATTCGAATTGGAAAATTTACACACTAAATTAAAATCAATACGAAAAAAGAAACAAATAGAAAATGTTGCAGATGTACAGTGCGGCTAAATGCTTTTCACAATGCGGGAATTTGGAGTGAATATCGGCAAAAATGTTGGACACTTTCCAAAATACATAAAAAGTCAAATATTGAGACTTCAAATTCCCATAGTTTTAGCTTTTAATTTATCAGAAATTTAACGCAAGCACCTAAAACTAATTTAAGTGTAAAAATGCATTTTTTTAATATTCTAAACACCAAACACTTGCCAACAACAATATAAAATTATTGATATTTTTCTGTTCTCTCTCGTCTTTTGACCATTAACCATATATAATAAACCTAATGTTTCATTCAACATAACAACAACAACAACAACAAAATTAAACAAAATCTAACGAATTCAATAACAAAACTTAATTCAGATCTAGGCAACTGTGATATACGCATACATATTGAAAAAGCCGCCGACGGTAATAGCAACAATAACAACAATCAAACAAAAATCTATTACAAATAATTATTACTATAATTATATTTATTCAAATTCCATACTTAATCTATACTAAATGCTTTCAACGAAAAAAAAAAAATATTAAAAAAATATCTACAAAATATTTTTATTTTTCACTTGTTTAACGTTTGAGCTGCATTTGCGTTGCGTTTCCAATTGAATTCCGATTAACTTACTCAACTAGCTCTTAATTTTATCTAATCTAAACACACTGGACACACGCCCACGTACACTCCCTTCAAATTTAGGCCACTGGCTTAGTCCTAAGTAGTTTTCTCTACCACACAACCACACGCAAAGTTTCCAAAACTAACATAAACTATTTCCCACCCCAAAAAAAAAAAAAATAGTAATTACCTTCTTCCAATAAATGCGGCTCTGTTTGCTCAAGAACTCCCCCCTCACTCTAGTCCCCTGTGAATGGGTCAACTTATTACAAAATAAACACATATATGTGTACATGTTATGAAGTTGAGAGAGTTTGGTAAAGTCCTTTGAAATAAAGTCATAGAATAATATATGTCATATATGCTGTGTGTCCAAAAATATAATTAATAATCCATACACACGCTTTATTTTACCCGGGCCTTAATTTAAATGTCCGCTCAGCTGATAAATGTGAAAGCAACTATAAAATCTCATGAAATTTCAGTTGGGTAATCAATAAATCCAACCAATAGGCAAACAACAATAACAATTGAAGAGTCAATTACAATTGTAATTTATGTGCTGCCATAAATTGAATAAGTGCAGGTTGAAGGGTCAGGCTGGTTCAGATATATCATCAATTTAACCGTATAGTACATTCAATGAGCTCTAAAAACAATAAATTCAATATATGCAATATGGCTGATAAAAATAAAGCACACGCACATACACACACAAACACACAGTCAAGCACACAGCCATTCATATTTCATAGCATACCAATGGGCGCGCGGCGGGAATTTAATTTTTGTTAAAAATCAATCAAAAATATTTAAAACCCCTCATAAAATATTTGGCAGCGCATTGTGCACAATCTGAATCTTCATGCTACCATCCCAAGCTATATGTATTTGTCCTCACATCTCATATTAGAGCCCCTGAATACAGAACCAGAATTGCATGAGAAATACCTCCACCAAACACCACCAAGCCACAAACCTGTCCGTCAATTGTAAATACATTTGTAAAATATATACTATCTGAATGAAATTCACGTTATTTGCACCTTTTATTTGTAGCTTTATCTTGCTCTAGGTTATTATAAACTTTATTTTATTTTATAATTATATATAAAATAAATTATATCGGAATTCGTTATTAATGAAATGTTTTTCAATAAACAGATGATGAATCTGGCGAAAAAGCCGTATCAGTATTACTCAGCGGCGAGGAGTCCGAATTAATATTCATAGATCATGGATACACCGAAATGACTGTAAGTACTATGACTTATATAGGGATATAGCTATTTGCCCGCACACTCGAAATGTCACTTTGAAGTAAGGTCAATCCACAGGCATCCACACCAGTCACCATCATTCAACCTTAGAGATACTTTATCTGTGACATTTCATAATGCTATTAACATATACAATCAACACACAGACACACACACACACCAACACACAACTCAGGCATCTCTTGAACCTCACTCAATGTCAGTTTTGTGTCCTTTGCTTTCACAGCCGGATGAATGCTTGACCAACTATGATCCACATGGCTATTGCGTCATTTATTCTGCCGCGGACCGAAGCAGCTTTAACATTGCCGAACAGGTGCTTCAGGTGCTATGGACCAATCAGAATATCGCACAGAAAGCCGTTATACTGGTGTCGAACAAAGCGGACCTCGCCAGGAGTCGACTCGTTACATCCGAAGGTAAATAAATGAGACTCAATTCAGCTGACTAAACGATTTCCAGATTTTCCTTTCATTAACACTTCAAAATGCGCTCGATTGGGTTTTTTTTTATCAAGTTAAAATAGCTACACTGTCACAATGTGTGTGTATGTGAATGTGTGTGTATTTGAGTGTCGTTGGATATCTGCAAAGGACACCACAAAAGCAGCCACAGACAGCTGCAGTCGCTTTAATTTTGGGTTTTCAATGGAAGTTGATCAAGCGGAAGTCGATTGCCGATTGGTCCAACCCAGCACACACCTACACACAGTCACACGCACATACACACCCACCCATACTCATGATGCATATGTATAAAGACATATATATATATATATATATATATAATAGATATATATGTCTAGCGGCAAAAACAAGCCATCGTTAAACGTAAAGCAAGTGAAGGTCGCTAAACTGCTTTACTGGACGCTCATTGCCTTTTATGTACATTTAAGTATATCCACTTAAAATACCCTATGAAATTCACTTACATTTTAAGTTGAATGAAATGTTTGTGACACTATTAAAGTAGAAAGTGTTTTCAGGCATTTTAACCAATTGTTCGCTTGACAGCTGTAAACATTAACAGACGTTAGCTTAATGTTAACAAGAGCCGCTGTTAAGTGCAGTTGTAATAACATATCTTAAGTGAATATCTCACTGTTAATGTGGATAAAATTTCTGTTTCTGTTGATATAGCAGATTCCGTAGGCTCAGAGTATTTAACAATGAAATTTACCACTTGGCAAATCAGAAGGCAAATTTAAGATGAAATAGAGTATTCACATTGTGGCATCTGCTAGACAAATGCTAATTCTTGTTTTATATCAATTTAAAAGGTCAGCAGATTTATTCACCGTTAGCGGGCGCACATGCCAGGCTTATGGCTTTCATCTAACAAATTCAATATTTTCACAAATTACATTTGTTTTTAATGGCCGTTTACGAAAGTGTCAGCGTCAACAGTAGACAAAACAAAAAAAAAACGAGAAGCAAATTTAGGTCATACGGCAGCAGGTTGGGGCATGGGACAAGCAAATAAACTGTGAGCGGTGTGGGAAAACTGAGGCGGGGTAAAATTGTTTAAGCGCAAAATTGATTACATTTCATTCCTGCGGCTTACGCCTTAATAAGCTCATTGCTATTGTTGTCAATACAAAGAGAATGCTTGGGGATGGTGTTTCCCAAAATTTCATAAAATATTTATAGCCTTCTGAGGAGCAACATCAACGAAAATATGAGGGTACCTCAAAGAATTTAATAACTGAAAAAATAATAAGTAAATAAATAAATAAAAAATCAATTAAAGCAACTGAACTGTGAAAATGCATAGAAAACACGCTTAATAAGGCAGGCTGAGTATCTGGTTGTGGCATGGGTATATACTATATTTAAGCAGCTGCACTCAGAAACATTTAGAATTCATAGCATTTGCCATTTGGCTGCCAAGTAGTTTTCATTGTTTATGAGTTTTGTTTGCTTTTAATTAAGGCGCCTGAGCAGGAGCCAGCTGACTTTTGTTGTACCATGCCGATGGTTAGGGTATGAAGAAGGGGCTGATAAATATTTCTCATATAAATCTTTAAAGCTTCTCGTAGTGCAGAATGTTTGGCCAGCTGGGGGTTTAATAAAAGCACCGTGATAAGCTGGTGGCATTTAAGAGGAAGGGAGATGAGAACATCCTATCAAAATCTAATAAAATGACGCAAACTTTTTTTTCGCACATCGTTAATAAAAATCTATATATATGAGCTCTTGAGAGGGTGTGTGTGCTGGTGTGTGTGTGTGTGTGCGAGTGTGGTTGTCATAAAAACAGGCCTGCGAAAACAAACGCATAGCTACTTATTGTAGTCGTAGGCTACAGATTTTAACGACAGCAGGCGCAGTAAACGTGACGAAATCTATAGAGAAGGCAGACATGGTAACACCAGGGGCAGGCGCAGGGTCAGGGGCTGGAACGGAGGGACTGGCGCAGGGTGGCTGAGGTTAATGGGCAACGTGTTTAGGTATTAAGTGTCCAAGTTTTGCTTTTTATTACACGCCCAAGAGTTTAACTAAGCGACGCAATTTGATTTGATTAACTTGCCGCATATCTGAGATTCACCGAGGCACTTAAAAATTCGCAACTTGTTTATTACAGAGGGCAAAGCCATGGCCACCGCATACGATTGCAAGTTCATTGAGACATCGGTGGGCATTAATCACAATGTTGATGAGCTGCTGGTGGGTCTGCTATCGCAGATACGCCTCAAGCTCGAAAATCCCGAAAAATCCAGGTTAGTATTTGCAAAAGCGCACAAAACTTTCGATTGCAGATTTATAATGCTATTTTTTTCTGTTATGCAACTTTTAGGGATCTGTTTCGCAAGCGTTCCATTCGCAAGTCCAAGCGTCGTGCCTGCTCACCGCTCAGCGCTGGTTGCCTCAATGCCAACACGCCGCTGGGTCCGCTTGGAGGACCACTGGGTGATGCGTCTGGTACGCCGCCAGGCAGCGCACACAGCAGGTTAGTCTCACACTGTGGCCTTAACACCTGCCAGCTAATAACAAGCAAACCTCTTTTCTGCTTCTCAATTTGTAGCCCGCGTAAATATCGCGGTTCGCGAACCTCCACGAGTCTCAAGGTCAAGGGTCTGCTTGGTCGCGTCTGGACGCGTGACTCCAAGTCGAAGAGCTGCGAGAATCTGCACGTGCTCTAAACGCCTCCACACACCAACACACACACCCACACACACATCGACTGAGCATGGGGCAGCAATTAGCATGGGAAGAGGGGGGGACATTTTAGTTATTAACCCATTTAGCCTTTTGGTTTTCCCAAATTTGGTGCATACAAAATCCCGAGGATTATTTACATATACAATAAATAGAAAAGCTCCCTAAAGATACATTTCGCCTAAGTTTTGAAACGTACAAGCTACAAATAGACTCCTAACTCATAGCTGTATTATCTTTGTATATATGTATGTATAATTTATAAAATATATACTTTAATGCTAGTCAGTTTAATATTATTTGTATTAAGTCCTTATAATTGTGTATGAAACTTTGTGTACATATTCAACAAATATAAATATACTTTTAATTTATTTTATAAATGTGTTTGCTTTCGTTTAATTACGTACAATCCAAATCGACTTCCATGCCAAAAATATTTTTTTATTATTATTATTTATTATTTCTCACCTAAGACTTCACAATTTAATTAAACAGTCAATGAAATCAAATTAGTTTACGAAGCTTGACCATTTAATAACATATTATATTAAATTCGAAATGTAAAAAAAAGAAGGTAAATGCAAATCAAAAGCAATAATTTTTTGTAATTTTTTAAAGAGTTTAATTATAACCCAAAATGAGATATGAATCAATTGTACTGATTTTTAGCATGTTTGGCAATTGTTCGCCGAATAGAATTTAACATTAATTAAATTATATACTTATAATGCTAATTCAATTGCATTTTATTAAATCGTACTAATCTTCGTGTTGTTCCAAATTGATTATTCAATATTTAAAACAAACAAAAAAAACAAAAAAAAAAGTAAAAATTCATTATAATATTCAAATTCAATTTGCATTATGTAGTTTTTAAGTAATTTGCTTATTTTCGGCGCATGCAAGCAAAATATTTTTAATGCGGAAACCATGTGCACAGCTTAGGCACACATTATAGGTTTCTTAGATAAGTCGGGACCATTCGAAATTGAACTAGAGCTACCACACAAAATTTGTGTTCTCCTATAATGGGGAATTCGATTAGATCTTACATAAAATGAACAAGAATATCAAAATCCAAAAGAAATAAATAAGAAATTGTTTAGTAAAGTTAAATCATGGGTACAACAATAACTGTCTGTATCAGATTTGAGGAGATTCTGTGCAACAAAGTTTTTTTTTTTCTTTTTGGAATATCAATGTCACAATTTAACAGCTCGTACATATTTTAATATGTTAAAAAAAAAACTTTGCGCTTCATAATTATAGATGTGAACTAAAGTGTATTGTATATCAAAACTATTGCAGCACAATGGAATTTAAAAGAATACATAATAACTTACAAAACAAAACAAAAATTTGGCAATGCCCAATTCACTTTTAAATAGCAACCAAAAATGATACTAATGTAAAACTTGTCTATGAATTTATTAGTAAAAATATTTAGATGTATTTTTTTGCTCCAGCATAAAATCCAGCCGAAAAACGTAAAACCAAAATGAATTCGAGCCGTGAAAAGTAAATGGCAAATATACCCAGATTCAAACTGGTCTAAAAACTGAATGTATAAAGCTATGTAGAATCGCGAAAGTCAGCCATAAATAAATAAATATTTGTCATGAGGTAGAAGCCCACAAGAAAGTTAAAGATTGAGAGTCGAATATATTCCATTTACGATTACGATTATTATGTGTAATAAATGTATAATAAATGTGTAAACTTTGAACTTTAATCGCATATTTCGTTTTTCTTTGCATCAAAATTAAATTCAAATTATGCCAAAGTTCGTTAAACCGTTACGGCTAGTTCCAAAATGAACTAGAACTGATATTCAATAGACATTTCACGACAGTCAACGGTTATGCAAAAGTTCGTTAAGCCGGTGCAGGTAGTTCCAAAATGAACTAGAATTGATGTTCAATTGAAAAACATCTGTTCATTTCATGACAGTCAACGGTGAATGGCAAAATCAACAACAGCTGTTCGATTCTGTGCGAATGTCTGTCTGTCATTTGACCAGCAGTATAAATTCACGGCCAACGCCAACGTACGAAATTCGCGGTCATCGTTTCGGCTACGCGGAAGACGCCCCAGTGCTTTATGTAATATGTTAAGCTGACGCAAAATATTCCTTTAGTCTACCAAAAATCGTGTGATATAAATAATTAGGCCATAGCATGTTGCTCTATCAAGTAAGTTCGGTGGCGCGCAGCACTCTGCAATTTCAGGCGAAATTGTTGCTCCCCGTTACTCAGCTAACATGTGCAGTCTTTCAATGCCGCCACCTGACCCCCATGAAAGAGTATGAGCAGCGCGTTGCTTCCGGTCAACTGATGACTGACGATAAGCAACAACAAACAATGAAGCAGCTGGACGCACTCTACCGTCGCCTCCAGGACTATCAACCAAGCACGCAAAGTTCATCTAGCGGTGGATTCCTTAAATCGATTTTTGGCAAGAAATCCAGTGAAGACACCGATGCCGATGATGACATGACCGCAGGCAGCCACTCCCCCAAGGGTCTCTACATCTACGGCAGCGTCGGCGTGGGCAAGACCACGCTAATGGATCTGTTCTTCGACTGCTGTACAGAGGTGTGTGTAAACAGCCGTTTTCTCAGAGGATACGATAAGGGAAATCTTTGGCTTATACAACGATATGTGTATAATACGTGAACTATATGACACAATAGGTAAAACCTAATTAGCCGAACAAGTGGCGAGCAACCGAACAGTTTAGCGTAATCTCTCACACCAGACTAAAAAATCTTCAGTTTCGCCCTTCTATATATCATAAGTATACATGATATAATGCATGCGAACGTACTGCTTTCTAATATCATGCTATGTGGTTTATAAACTTTTATTAATACTCTTACATAACACAGCCTATTTTTGTTAATGCTGCATGCTATCCTAGAACTCGAGCTGGAATCCTTCTTGAACAGTAGACTGGCTCACTTAGAGGACATTTTTACCGAGGACTGTTACGGCTAGAACTTTAGGCCCAAAGGCCCTTAACCAAAGGTCCCTTCCAACATTGCTAATACTATATGCTATACTTAATAATAATATATGAAATACCAAATTTAATTCACTTTCCCTTTTCAACAGATTCCCCGCAAGCGTCGAGTACACTTCACCGCCTTCATGACCAAAGTGCACGCGCTCATACACGATGCCAAGGAGCGGCAGGGTCCAGCGGATCGTGCCTTCAACTCGGAGAAACCCGAACCCTTCGACCCAACGAAGCCGGTCGCTGATTTGATCGCGAACGAGTCATGGCTCATTTGCTTTGACGAATTCCAAGTGACAGACATTGCGGACGCTATGATACTTAAGCGGCTCTTCACCCACCTATTTAGGCAGGGCATTGTTGTAGTGGCCACAAGCAATCGACACCCTGAGGATCTATATAAAAATGGATTGCAGCGCGTCAACTTTTTGCCGTTTATCGCACTGTTGCAGAAACGGTGCGCGACGGCAAAGCTCGACTCGATTGACTATCGGCGAATTGCTCAATCTGGCGACACGAATTATTTCGTGAAAGGTGAGACGGACGCCGAAGCCGATATGAATCGCATGTTCAAGATTCTGTGCGCCGAGGAGAATGACATCATTCGACCTCGCACAATCACGCATTTTGGTCGCGATTTGAAATTTGCACGCACGTGTGGCCAGGTCTTGGACAGCAGCTTCGACGAGCTTTGCGATCGCGTGAGTATTTCTCGATAATAATAATATTGGGACTGGCATTAATCTATGTTTCTTAGCCGTTAGCAGGTAGCGACTATCTGCAAATTGCACAGTACTTTCACACGGTGCTCATACACGACGTGCCTCAGCTGAATCTGAACGTTAGGTCCCAAATGCGTCGTTTTATTACGCTTATAGATACACTATACGATAATCGAGTGCGCGTAGTTATCTCAGCGGATGAATCGCTAGATAATCTATTTCAAATCTCGGACAAATCTAGTTCAATGTCTGATTCGGATCGTGCACTAATGGATGACTTAAAACTGAACGAGAATTCGGTGAGCAACCAATATGCCATTAAAAAATATGTTATTCTAATTCTAAACTTTTCTCTCTTTCATGCTACACAGTCGAGTGTTTTTACTGGTGAAGAGGAACTTTTTGCCTTTGAGCGAACAATATCACGTCTACACGAGATGCAGAAGCGAGAGTACTGGGAGCAGTGGGCGAAGCATCGCTGATTTAGCAACATATCCCATCCAAAATCAATGCAAATTTTTAGTGTAATTAGTAGAATTAAACGTTATCCTATTTTCTGCTGGCCGTCACAAATCAATTACTTTTTGTGTTATTATTTACATATTTATAACGCCCTAATCCAATTAATTTAGCTCTTATCAGTCCATTTATTAATTGAGTAACGAGCACCAGCACAATCCAAATCATTATCAGTCCAATATTATAAAAAGCTATGTGAAGGCGTGGCGATATTAGCACAATCGTAATTATTACAAATATTTATCTATGACTGACTGTATATTTGTGTGAATGAATGTCTTTGTTCGTATGTATGTCTGTAAGTACACCTGCCTGTTTGTATATAAGTATAGACAAATGTAGTTGTTAATGTATGTATGTTTCCCAATGGCAAACACAAGTATACTGCTAAAAAAGAATTATTTGGTCTAGTGCTCTACTCTGCGATTCTCATGAATTCAAGTAGGTCCTGCTTGTCTTCATGCTTTCAACTTAGGCAAGGTGGTGTAAGCTAACAAGTATTGTATTGTATTGTAAGAAGTTATGTATGTATATATGCATGTACACAAGTGTATATATGTGTAGATATATGTGTAGATATATATATATATATATATATATGTAGGCATATCAATGCTTGTTAGTATGTAAACGTACATATATGTATGCACCTGTGGGTATGAGAGTTTATATGTAGGAATATGTATGCGCGTACGTTGTTGGCACGTGTGTAGATTTGTGTTTCACCTACACACACACCCTGAGGCTGCGCTGACTATGCAAGAATTTCCTAGCCTGCTGGCTATGAGTTCTGACTTTGAAGTCATTTTCATTATATGCTCGAAAAAAAACATATTTGGGTATAACACTTGTCAATAGTTTTTGCCGAAATCAAATGAAAACTCTTTTCCACTTACCTTTATACAAAGATTAGTGTTTGGATTTTCCTGTTAAATCGAGTCAAAAGAAGCCTCAGTCTTAGCTTAATTATAAGTCCCGGTTCCATTATGGACGGCAAGTCTTTGATTGTGAACAAAACCTTGCCTTTCGGTAAGCCCCGTAAATGTCTGCATATAACGTGCTCTACACTCATGATATGAATCTGGTTTACTCAGATGCGTCATTGCTAACGGTTAACATATCGCTGCGTCAGGTGGAGGAGATAGCATCGAGCTTATCCCAGCGTTGTGTCGTCTCTGGTGTAAATGAAATCGCCTGGGCCCTGAGAGCGCTCATGCTGACAGACTTGACTACGCTGTCGGGAGATGACACCCGAGCGAACGTGCGTCGACTATGTGTGCGCGCTTGCTATCCCTTTGAACCGCAGTTCTTCGACAAATACTTTGAGCGCACGCTCCTGCTGGACATTCACTGTGCTGCTGTTTGTGTGTATCCGGCGCGTGTTAAGGACGCCTATACAACAATTCAGCAGTTTAACCAATTGGATAGCGTGGCTATTGCTGCTGTGGCAACTGGATTTCCCACAGGCCAATATGGTCTGCAGACGCGCTTGCAGGAAATAAGTCACGCCATCCTGGCGGGCGCCACAGAGATTGACGTTGTTATCAACCGGCAGCTGGCGCTTTTAGGCGACTGGGAGGCGCTCTACAACGAGGTGGTGCTCATGCGCAGTGCCTGCGGTGACCACGCAATTCTCAAGACCATTTTGGCTATTGGTGAGCTGGGTACTATGGAAAATGTAAGTAGCCCGCTGCTGCATGCAACAGCTGCATTTTCTCCTGAATTTCTGTTATTTTCAGGTCTACAAAGCCTCCATGGTATGCATGATGGCGGGCGCAGACTTTCTAAAGACCTCCACAGGCAAGGAGGTTGTGAATGCGACCCTGCCAGTCGGCTTGGTTATGATATTTGCCATACAAGAGTTCAAGCGACGCACTTGCCAAAAAGTTGGCCTGAAGGCAGCGGGTGGGGTACGCACAGTGCGAGACGCGGTCTCTTGGATGACGCTCGTTAACGAGACGCTGGGAAGTCGTTGGTTGACACCGCATCGCTTTCGTTTTGGCGCTTCCGGGCTGCTGGATGACATTGAAAAAGTTGTGCGCGACGGTGTTGCCATATTGGAACGCGAGGCTGCTGAGGCCAATCAGACTAATCCGCAGGCATCAGAGGAAGGTAGTGTAGATGCTACTTGCAAGGAGCTGCGCAAAAAGCAGCAATCGGAAAATTAATTGTGCGTTCTCATCACACAAAACAATGCAAAATGTATTTCATTTTATTAAATTTTCGCCAGGAATAAATGTGATCAGGAAGAAGTGTGAAAAATAAGTGTGACCAGGTTGTGTGTCTATACGCGTTGGTATTTTTATTCGTTTGGTATTTGTACATACATGGTTTTTTACTGTTAACCGCATTTGGTCACATTGAGTACAAAACTATTGAAAAAATTACTTTAATTTAAGACAATTTCGCATCCTTGCTCCGCCCACTCATCGCTGCTGTAATGGTAAGTGCACTCCCAATCAACGCGTAGTCGCCAGCAGCCGGAACCAGACATTTCAGCCTAGCGCAAATACCACATTAAGTAGAAGAAAACACAAACTGAAAACGCTGACTGCGCCCTCGCCCGCCCACTTTGCAAGCGGCAAAACCTGTGCAACTTGCAACTGCGGCCGCAAGCATAATAGGAGTTCGCATAACCACATACCACCAAAACCTCAACCACCACCACAAGCACAGCACCCCGATCATCCAGCATGTATCCCTGGAACTCCTCCACGTACAGCGGCCAAGTGCCCACTGGTGGCCTAACCAGGGTAAATACGCCACGCACAGCCAATACTCTAATGCAACACTCCACTCCACCCACCTTTGCACTATCTACTGCTGTTCACATTAATTATTTACTACTACTATTTGTTCGTTTCCACGATGAATGCACGCTGCGGGGGGCGCAGTCGGCAATTGGTCGCATTCTTGCGAATCCATTTTCAGCTCTTGTTTTTTGTGTTATCATCGTTCGCCCATTTCCAGAGCCCAGCTTAATCCAGCAACATCCGAATGAGCTGTCGACGCTTATCTCATGTCGCTATGTGTTTCATATTTTGTGTGTTGTTTCTCTCAATTCTCTCAAATTCGTGTCATCGCCATTACTCACACTCTCATGTATTCGCGCACATCGACTGGTTGGCCCACTTTGCCCGACACTGTATGCTATGTCTCGTTCCAGACGATGCCGAATGGTTTGGACGACCAGGAGAAGCTGCTCGCCGAGGCGGCCGGTGCAGCACGCAAACAGGCATTCCAAATGAATCACTTTCTGGACAAGGAGCGCATGCTGGACGCCCTCAAGTGTGCTAGCACAATGTTAAGCGAGTTGCGCACCTCGATGCTATCCCCCAAGAGCTACTATGAGCTATGTAAGTACATATTGGATTGACAAATAGATGTATATTCTTCATATATTTCCATTTGTGTACAGACATGTCCGTCACGAATGAGCTGTGCCACCTGGAGCTGTATCTCAGCGAGAAAAGCAATAAAGAGACGGATCTGTATGAATTGGTTCAGTATTCGCACACGATAGTCCCGCGCCTCTACCTGCTCATCACAGTGGGCATTGTATACATTAAGAACGACTCGACGCTTAAGCGCAGCATTCTCAAGGATCTGGTGGAGATGTGTCGTGGTGTGCAGCATCCTCTGCGCGGCCTCTTTCTTCGCAACTATCTGCTGCAGTGCACCCGCAACATACTACCCGATGTGCTGGTGGCGGAGAACGAGCACGAGGGCAATGTGTACGATGCCATCGATTTTGTATTGACGAATTTCGCAGAAATGAATAAATTGTGGGTGCGCATGCAGCATCAGGGCCATTCCAGCGAGAAGACGCGCCGGGAAAAGGAGCGCGAAGAACTGAAAATTCTGGTGGGCACGAATCTGGTGCGTCTGTCGCAGCTGGAGTCCGCCACACTGGAGACTTACAGGCGTCTGATACTACCCGGCATACTAGAACAGGTGGTTAGCTGTCGGGATGCCATCGCGCAGGAGTATCTGATGGAGTGCATTATTCAGGTATTTCCCGATGAGTTTCATCTGCAGACACTTGATCCGTTCCTAAAGTCCTGCGCCCAGCTGGAGACAGGCGTGAATGTTAAGAACATTATTATTTCGCTAATTGAACGACTGGCGGCCTATAATCAACGCAGCGGCAAGGTAAGTGCTCCATTCAAATATTAATTGAGATTTTATTATAATCAAATTTTATTACAGACGAGCGGCAATGCCATTGATGCCATCATACCCGCCGAAGTGGAGCTATTTGAGGTGTTCAGCGTGCAGGTGGCAAACATTGTGCAGACCCGCACAGATATGCCGCTCGAGGACACAATATCGCTACAAGTGGCCTTACTCAGCTTGGCGCAGAAAGTGTATGCCGATCGCGTCGACTATGTGGACAAAGTGCTGGGCACAACCGCACAAATACTCGATCGCATGAACATGAACAAGTGAGTGCTCATTTCGTTATCTCTGGATATGAAAATACGTTAATTGTTACACTTAACTTGCAGCATTTCACACCTGTTGTCCGTTAATCAGGAACTTTCGCGCCTGCTTCGCATCTGCATAGATTTCTACAATAATGCGCTGACCATTATACAATTGAATAACTTTTGTCCGCTGCTGGAAAAGTTCGATTACACCTCGCGAAAATCGTTGGCATTATATTTGGTTATGAACATATTGGAGAATGAAACTCTGGTGCCCACAGCCGATCAGGCGGACAGCATATTGACGATCATAACACCGCTGATCAAGGACGATGAGACGAGCACGACGGCTGCCAATAATAGCGCGGATGCCGAGGAGTTTGCGGAAGAGCAGGGCGTAGTGGCACGGTAAGTTGTCGCTGCATTCAAATTAAGTTGAAACTCAATTTCATATGTCTTTTATTTCGCAGTTTTATACACCTCCTGAAGTCCGATGAGCCGGACATGCAATACAAAATGCTGCAAATAGCGCGCAAACATTTGGGCAACGGCGGCGGCCAGAGACTGAAGCATGTCCTGCCGCCACTTGTGTTCGCCGCTTATCAGCTGGCATTTAAATACAAAGCAATTGCTGAACAGGATGAGAACTGGGACAAGAAGTGTCAGAAGATTGTGCAGTACTGTCACAGCACAATCAGTGCATTGGCCAAAGCGGATTTGCCTGATTTGGCGTTGCGCCTGTATCTGCAGGGCGCTTTGGTTATTGGCGAGATACGTTATACAAATCACGAGACTGTGGCGTATGAATTTATGACGCAGGCCTTCTCGTTGTACGAGGATGAGATATCCGATTCGAAGGCACAACTGGCGGCCATAACGCTCATTATGTCCACATTTGAGCAAATGTCCTGTTTCGGCGAGGAGAACGCCGAGCCGCTGCGCACCAACTGTGCGCTGGCTGCGTCCAAGCTGCTCAAAAAGCCAGATCAGTGTCGCGGCGTTGTGGCCTGTGCGGCGCTCTTCTGGAGCGGCAAGTAAGTCAATCGCGAATAAACATTTGAAATCAGACATTTGAAAATTTCAATACTTCCAGGCAAAATGGAGAGGAGATGCGCGATGAGAAGCGTACGCTGGATTGTCTGAAGAAGGGCGCACGCATAGCCTCACAGTGTCTGGATACGGGCGTGCAAGTGCAACTGTACGTGGAACTATTGAATCACTATCTGTTCTACTTTGAGCGTGGCAACTCACTCATCACAGTCGCCATGCTGAATCAGGTAAGGGCCCACACTGAACACAACCAATGTGCTGCACTACATTCTATTGTATTTTCCAGCTCATTGCCAAGGTAAACGAAGAGCTGCCCAATCTGGAACCCAGCGAGGAAACTAAGCAGATTGAGAGTCATTATAAGAATACGCTGGCGCACTTGCGCAGCCGCATGGAGTCCAATGACACCGCACTGGAAGTCTCCTTTGCCGGCATCACACTCAATTAATGATGAACTCCTCCTCCACCTTCTCCATTTGCTAACCACTTAAAAACACAGCAAACAACGCCCCTCATACACGCCTATTTTTGTAAAGCTACTTATCAGTGAGCAAATAGTAAAACCCACTCTTCAAAAGGCTGGTTAAACAGAGAATAATGCAGAACCTTGCAAAACGATCAAAAACAACGGTAACAACTGTGTTTTCTAAAAGAAACGAAATTCCATGATAAATTGTAGATTGTTTAGGATAGTGCAAGAACTATCCAAAAAAGTGCTTATGACTTTGATTTTCGATTATATAATTGTAAGTGCAAAGTATCAACATTCTTAATGATTTTTCTCCTTTATTATCGCGTATTTAGTTCATAATTACAAGTAATTACCCCCCATAAAGAATTGTATTTTATTGTATTCTATTATTTAACCCCTTGCAAAAGAAAAAAACAAAAAAAATAAATAAATAAATAAAGATGTGAAATATTGTTAAACAAAGGAAAAGATCTAAAACGAAAAATTATACCATTATAAATTAATCATTAACCAATTATTGATTATATGCAATTTGATAGATTTTTGATTGTGGATAAATAAAGTTAAGATCAAATTGTTTTTAGCCAATTAATAGTCAAATATTAAGTATTCGAATGTTATTGTCACGACGAATGGGGATAAGGAAAGACGACGCAAACATGAAATACAATTCGTTTATTAAAAATATACATACATTATAAAGCCGAACACGTTCAATCCGGTTATAAATCAGTTAACTTAGCTTTCATTTACAATACATGAGTGTGGATAAGTAGACGTAGACCCAACTCGTTCCTAATCATTTCTTTGAATACCTTTGCGCATCTCATATCATGCCTCGATCAAAATAACCTGATTGGTGGACCAAGCGCATTCCAAAGTCCTTCGACGATAATACGATTTGCTATTTACTGTGGCAGTATTATGTGTGAGAGAGAGTGTGGTTCGGGGCAGGACGGTAAGGTTAATATGTGGCAGTTTCGTGTTACGAATTGATTTGCAGTTCCATATCCATCGAGAGCTCAGAAAATTAATCGTTCAGGGAGAGGTGGCTATAAAAGTTGAAGAGTTATTTCGTTGGGTGCTGGAGCTGGACTTGGACACGGGGGCAGTTAACAATGTTGTCGTCTCAGCGCGACTTAAAGCTAATCATTTTTAGTATCTAAGTTCTAGCATAAATTTACAATTAGAAGCGCCTAATTCACTTTCAGTGTCGTAGCAAATGGAAAATTTTGAAACATGAGATAAATTGTTCGTCACGGCGTATAGCTCGAGATTACGAGAAGTTTGCCACTCGGCTCCATTTATACCGACTTCGTGTTGTAGTAGTTGTAGACGTACGGCCAGGAGGCCAGCACGTACTCCTCGATGCCGCACTCATTGGAGCCGCGCAATATGCGGAAGTAGCCGTGCTCACCCCACCAGGGACCCCACGAGTTGGCCGCAATCTGGTAAATGGGAGAAATTAAAGTTAAGTAAATACGTTTCCCATCTCCCATCTTAATCAATGTTCCTTCATCTACTTACCCAGTACTTGACGCCATCGTGCTCCTCACCCCAGCCGACAAGCTTCACCGAATGGAAGCCGGTGGGTGCACCGCGATTGGCAGCCGTCTGACGGTAGATGCCGCCCGAGTAGGAGAAGAAGTCGCGGTAGATGCGCATGGTGGCCTGTACGGGTCCCGAGTGATAGATCTCAGCCATGATATCTGCCTCGCGACTCAGACTGTACGCAGGGCCCACTGTGTACAAGCTATCCCTATTGACGCCATACGCCGGCTGGCAGCCGTTGGCCTTCAGGGAACGACTATTGTGGCGTTGAATCTTGCAGCTGTCCCTATGCTGTGTGTATGGATAGCACTTCTCATCGAGAACGCCCTTCTTATGCAGGTAACGCCAGGCGGCATCGAGATGCCCGCCCTCGCAGCCCTGCTGGCGACGCGTACAGGAGAGTATGTTCTGTGCCGACAGCTGGACCACTTCCTTGCCCTGACTCTGGATAGCGAAACGATCGGATGCCACCGAAGTGGTGGACAGCACCCAGGAGGAACCGCACCAGCCCTGATCGGGCACCTCGGATATATAGCTGGACCACTTCTCTACGGCGTTGAATTTACTTGGCAGATCATCCGATGGATTGGTCAAACGTGTCATCGCCTTGACCCGATAGGTGGGCTCCTTGGTGCCCAGGCGCAGGCGCAGACCCTCGCTGTACTTGTGGCCCCACCATTCGTCGTATTTGCGCGCCGACCAGCCCAGCCGATGAATCGAATTGACGCTATGGACCAGCTCGTCGTCGGTCAGGCACAAATCCGTGTCGCACTGCACCCGGCCGCCGTCCAGACAACGGCACTCGTTGCAATTGTCCCACGTGGTGTTGTACTTGTGGAAATAGATGCCGTTGTGCAGGCAGCTGAGCACCGGATCCGGCTCATTGAAGCAGAACGAACGGTAGTCCGGACAGCAGTCACCGGAGTCATCCCGATCGCAAAACTCATCGCAATAGCACAGTGTTGCTGTAAGTGAGGGAAATATGCAACAGTTAGCAGATTTATGAAGACTGTCTGACAAGGACAAAAAGGAAGAGATATGGGAAAATATTTGGAGTAAGAACTAACTGGATATGGGTAAGTGGAACAAAGGGAAATATTTCGAATTAGGTTGTGACTAGGCATATGGGGAAATATTTAAATTAGATACTAAATATTCAAATATGGGTAGCATATACGGAATTATTTGAATAAGACACTATTTTAATGTAGAAATATAGGGAAATATTTAAATCAGGTACAATATTGGGAATTGATTGAATTTGGTATTAACTGAACATGTAAACATGGGCAGCATATAGGGATATATTTGAATAAGGAACAATATTCAATGATGATGTAACCCCTTGCTTTTTGGCCGATTTGGGTCAAAATTTTGATTTGCATATTTTTGATGCCAATCGATAGTTCTGATCCTTACGAGTCCAAAATGGTATAAAATTCCAAAATCTGTCATTATTTGGCCGAGATATTCCAAAAAATCATCAAAAAAGGTTGACTTCAGAAACGAACCGTTTTTTGGTCAACAACTTTTTTTAACCAATCGATTTTTAATTTCTTTAAATGCCAATTTATAGTAGGGATCCGTACAAATTCAAAAAGGTATAAAATTATAAATTCGGGCATTTTATGGCCGAGATATTACAAAAAAATCATCAAAAAAGTTTTGATTTTCGATCCGAACCCGATTTTGACAAAAAACGTGATGTAACCCCTTGCTTTTTGGCCGATTTGGGTCAAAATTTTGATTTGCATATTTTTGATGCCAATCGATAGTTCTGATCCTTACGAGTCCAAAATGGTATAAAATTCCAAAATCTGTCATTATTTGGCCGAGATATTCAAAAAAATCATCAAAAAAGGTTGACTTCAGAAACGAACCGTTTTTTGGTCAACAACTCTTTTTAACCAATCGATTTTTAATATCTTTAAAAGCCAATTTATAGTAGGGATCCGTACGAATTCAAAAAGGTATAAAATTATAAATTCGGACATTTTTTGGCCGAGATATTACAAAAAAATCATCAAAAAAGTTTTGATTTTCGATCCGAACCCGATTTTGACAAAAAACGTGATGTAACCCCTTGCTTTTTGGCCGATTTGGTTCAAAATTTTGATTTGCATATTTTTGATGCCAATCGATAGTTCTGATCCTTACGAGTCCAAAATGGTATAAAATTCCAAAATCTGACATTATTTGGCCGAGATATTCCAAAAAATCATCAAAAAAGGTTGACTTCAGAAATGAACCGTTTTTTGGTCAATAACTTTTTTTAACCAATCAATTTTTAATTTCTTTGAATGCCAATTTATAGTAGGGATCCGTACGAATTCAAAAAGGTATAAAATTATAAATTCGGACATTTTTTGGCCGAGATATTACAAAAAAATCATCAAAAATCAATATTCAAAAAATATCTATATAAGGTACTATATTAATATGAGGAAATATTTGAGTTTCGTACTAACTGGATATACAAATATGGATAGCATAAAAGAAAATACTTAAATAATATGTAGAAATATGGTGAAATATTTAAATAGGCTACTATATGAATATGGGGAAATAATTGAATCTGGTACTAACTGGATATAGGCAACGAGCAGCCGTCGCGCCGATCCTTGCAGCATGTGTTCTGTCGCGCACAATACGGACCCGGGAAGTCCAGTTTCAGTGTGTGATCGTAGGCAACGGCCAGGCCTAGAAGCACCAGGAGTAGTGAGAGCCCCAGCAGGGCGCACTTGACAGCCATGTCTTGTAGTTGAAAATGCAGCTAGGCGCGTTCAACTGTAAATGATAAAGTAAATAGATTAGTGTGGAAATTAACCCAAATATTTTTGTTTATCTAATCCCAACTAGTCTGGAGGTCTATGAGATCATCGGTCGCAAATTGTGAGGCTGCGATTAGATAAGAAGTTTGCAATTTGTCAACAAATTAGCTATCTCAGCTCTTATCAGCGTTTGTTTTTTTTTTTTTTTATTTTTGTTTAATAGAAAGCTCCTGAAATTTGCGTATTACGCATACGCCCCATGCAGCGATAAATATGAACATCAAAGTCTAATTAAGTCTCGATGAATTTCAATTATGCATGGCTAAATAAAGCTGAGGTAGCTCTAAACTGGTTTCGCTGGCTTCCTAATTTCAGCATTTGCATAGCTTTTTTTTATCGGTTTTGTGGTATAGTTAAGAACTGGAGCTGAGGCTAGAGACGTAGTAAAAATCTACGAAATCAATTAGTTTATCACATATTTTTGGCTTGTAAAAATAAAGTTAAGGAGCTCACGCACACAAACCCCTTGGAAATTTCACGCTCATCAGAAATTCACTTCATGCATTGTCAAATCACATTTATGATGATCAAGAGTATGTGCCAGCAGATACCCTGTAGTCATATTGCCAAAAGGTTTATGGGAAAATGAAATGAATTGTAGATTGTTTGGGATGTAAGAGAAGACAAGTTCCTTGATCCCAATTAAGGCACTTGTGGATTCTTATGAATCAATTTCTTTTAGGGACTCAAATAGATGTGTGTGTGACAAACACAGGCAACGAGATGATATGCTACGCGTAGTGCCAAAGTTGTGGGCCACAATTGGCAAC